ACATGTTGCAGCTGTTTCGAACCTGATGAGCAGCAGATAAAATATATAATTGTACTTTTACATGAGTAGGTTAGTCATTTTTGTCTTTTACTTTTTTTTATGGGAGTAATTGTACTTTTTCTTGAGTAAAGATTTTGTGTCCTCTACCTGCCACTGGGCAGCGTGCACCAGTACTAGCACTGACATGGTGAACATGTGACAGACAGCAGAGATGAGGTCAATAGCAGAACAGAGTCAAAGCCAGCACAGTCCAAAGCAGCAGTTTATGGTACGATTGATGCTGATATGGCATATTTAGTTACAGTGGGTACAGAAAGTATTCAGAAAGTTCAAATTTTTCACTCTTTGTTTCATTGCAGCCATTTTCCAAAAATCAAAAAAGTTCATTTTATTTCTCAGTAATGTACACACAGCATCCCATCTTGACAGAAAAAAAACAGAAATGTAGAAATTTTTGCAAATTTATTAAAAAGGAAAACTGAAATATCACATGGTCATAAGTATTCAGACCCTTTGCTCAGTATTTAGTAGAAGCACCCTTTTGATCTAATACAGCCATGAGTCGTTTTGGGAAAGATGCAACAAGTTTTTCACATCTGGATTTGGGTATCCTCTGCCATTCCTCCTTGCAGATCCTCTCCAGTTCTGTCAGGTTGGACGGTAAACGTTGGTGGACAGCCATTTTCAGGTCTCTCCAGAGATGCTCAATTGGGTTTAAGTCAGGGCTCTGGCTGGGCCATTCAAGAACCGCCACGGAGTTGTTGTGAAGCCACTCCTTCGTTATTTTAGCGGTGTGCTTAGGGTCAAAAGGTTTTCGTCCAGGATATCCCTGTACTTGGCCGCATTCATCTTTCCCTCGATTGCAACCAGTCGTCCTGTCCCTGCAGCTGAAAAACACCCCCACAGCATGATGCTGCCACCACCATGCTTCACTGTTGAGACTGTATTGGACAGGTGATGAGCAGTGCCTGGTTTTCTCCACACATACCGCTTAGAATTAAGGCCAAAAAGTTCTATCTTGGTCTCATCAGACCAGAGGATCTTATTTATCACCATCTTGGAGTCCTTCAGGTGTTTTTTAGCAAACTCCATGCAGGCTTTCATGTGTCTTGCACTGAGGAGAGGCTTCCGTCGGGCCACTCTGCCATAAAGCCCCGACTGGTGGATTGCTGCAGTGATGGTTGACTTACTACAACTTTCTCCCATCTCCCGACTGCATCTCTGGAGCTCAGCCACAGTGACCTTTGGGTTCTTCTTTACCTCTCTCACCAAGGCTCTTCTCCCCGATAGCTCAGTTTGGCCGGACGGCCAGCTCTAGGAAGGGTTCTGGTCGTCCCAAACGTCTTCCATTTGAGGATTATGGAGGCCACTGTGCTCTTAGGAACCTTAAGTGCAGCAGAAATTTTTTTGTAACCTTGGCCAGATCTGTGCCTTGCCACAATTCTGTCTCTGAGCTCTTCAGGCAGTTCCTTTGACCTCATGATTCTCATTTGCTCTGACATGCACTGTGAGCTGTAAGGTCTTATATAGACAGGTGTGTGGCTTTCCTAATCAAGTCCAATCAGTATAATCAAACACAGCTGGACTCAAATGAAGGTGTAGAACCATCTCAAGTATGATCAGAAGAAATAGACAGCACCTGAGTTAAATATGAGTGTCACGGCAAAGGGTCTGAATACTTATGACCATGTGATATTTCAGTTTTTCTACATTTCTGTTTTTTTCTGTCAAGATGGGGTGCTGAGTGTACATTACTGAGAAATAAAATGAACTTTTTTGATTTTTGGAAAATGGCTGCAATGAAACAAAGAGTGAAAAATTTAAAGGGGTCTGAATACTTTCCGTACCCACTGTATCTACTCAAGGGCTCAGCTGAAGTGATTACTTTACTTTAGGAGTGTTAGAGGGGTGTTTCTAGTTTTGAAAATGTATTTTAATGGCTCATTTAGTTATGTACTCTACTTGCATAAAATTCTCAACAATGCAGGAATAAAGGTCTCTAGACCCAGAGGCCCCGATAAATGCTTTGTCTTTTTTGCATCCTTGACCTTAAAGACTTGTGCCATGAGGTGTGTATGTGTCTCTGGAAGAGGACAGAGGTCACAGGAGCAGGAATATAAAAAACTGAGGAGGACGAGCTTGTAAGTTGTATGGATAGCTTGTAGACAGTAAATTCTAAAACTCACGTAGTAAAAAGACTTTGTTATTCTAATGGCATGTCATCAGCATTTTGCATTGAAAACTGTTCTATGTTCAAAACATTTGTTGCAGGAAGAGTCAGGGCCAAGTGAGACACAGGAAATATCACAGACAGCTACATCAAGTGTAACATTAGGATAACTAAATACATTTGTATTGTGGCTACATTAACTAGCAGCTGTTCCATGGCTTTTATGGTATGTAGTCGGTTTTCTAGTTAAATTATACTCCCTCTCCCTGACCCTCTCCCTCTTTGAGTTTTCATAATCTCCCCTCTCCAGTATATTCTCCATCTTCTGTCACTACAAATACCCTCTTTCAGCCACACTAAATAAGTACATTCTGTTTTCAAAATTCATTAGAAATGAGCATTAATATCAGAATCAGAATCAGAATGAGCTTTATTTCCAAGTAGTGTTTAACACATACGAGGAATTTGTTTTGGTGATAAGGTGCTACACGTAGACAAACATACAGTTGACATAAATAAATGTAGAAATATCTAAATATGGAATAGACAATGCAACTTATATAATAATATTTTTAAATAATAGAGAAAGATAATACAACTATTTGCAAACTATTTATCTATCCACTATTTAAGTGCTTTATTTAAAAGCATTTCCCCCAGGTTCAAAGTCACTCCTACGCCCCTGTCAGAAGGACATCTGTAGTCATAGGACCTTTGACCATCATTGCTCTTCAATTTGTGCAGACAGAAAATGATTATTAATTCAAGCTACAAGAAATACAGAAAAACCTAATCAGCTCTCTGAATATATCTTAAGTTTTTGATTTTTTTATTTGTCACTAAGTTACTCATATTAGATTCATAAAGATGTAATAGGTATAATGTTATCTCCTAGATATGCAACACTGTATGTGGTTAAACTAGAACACATGAATAATTTTCTAGCATCTTTTTGCTGTTTGATTTATTTGATGTGTATGATTATTTAAATCCAAGACTATGCTAACAGACAGTAATTTAAAATATACGTGATTTGTAGAAAATGTACTAAAACATATACCATCACTGATATGGGGTGCATTTCCCGTACAACGATGGAAGGTAGCATTGAACTATCATGGTATGATGCATCGTTAAACTAACCAACATCTGAAATACCTTGTTGGTACCTTAGTGGTTTGAACTACCTTAGTTTGAACCAACATAGTTAGAACTACAGTGTTTCCAGATGTGTTCGGTCAGACTGCGGGAAACATGCAAAACTCACAAACTTTGCCATCTTATGACTAAATGTTGTGGCCGATACGAAGTTCAAACCAGACATCTTCTCTGTCTAAAGTGTGCGCCTGGTAGACATCAAACAAGTGTCCTTTATCCTTCAGATGTAGGTAAACTGCTAAGTCTTGACCTTAGGAGTTAGTCCTTCTGTGTTGAGCCATACGTTTGTGTAGTGGTTGTTTAGTTAGGTTGGACAGCATGCAATACATTGTTTTTCTTGTGTTTGGGTGTGTGGTCTTCAGTGTTGAGCAGTAACGTGTTACTGTTATATGCTGATTCATTCTCTCCAATGAGAATGGCTCTTAAAAATGTATAAGTGACTTTTCCTAACCAATTACCGATTTGGAAAAATTTATGTTATGTTAAAATTACTAGAAACTGTAGTAGGTTGAAATAGAACCGGAATAGAAAACTGTCAAATATCAAAACAACAGTCTGATATTGAATTCAGTGAATGCTAACATGAGTTTTAGAATAAAATTATTATACATAAGTTTAGATGTTGAAACAAAGCAATGTGATATTTACACACAATGATCGCGTGCCATTAATAAATGCTCACCTGATATTGTCACGCCACACGAGCTCTATGTCAAATCTTGGCAGCCCCAGTAAAAAAATTCTGTATACACCACTGGTGTGAAAATGAAGTGGACCAGAACCAAAACAAACAACGTATAATTTTCCCCACATGGTCCAAACAAATGAACCTAACTACAGCTGTGAAAGCACACTGACTTGCTGCTAATGTAGTAACATTAATATTAGTAAGATTTCATCTTGCTAAGTAGAAAAACAGAAACGTTATGGTCGCTGTAACCTATCACCAGACGGAGAATAACTTGAATATGCCGTAGGTGAAAGGCTGTCCCCTATTTGTTTGGTTCTTAAATTACACATTGTAACTTTAACCCTCAGGATTTGGCCTCAATTCCTGCTCTAATGCCATCCTTCCTGAGTACCACTATGTCACCTTGAAAATGAACTGGACCGGTGCGCAGCATTACTGCAGAGTGAAATACACCGACCTGGCGACCATTGAAAGCATGAATGACATAAGCAGGCTAAACAGACCCAGTTCAGACATCTCATTGTTATGGATTGGACTAAGCTATGACACAAACTACTGGAGATGGTCAGCGACTGGTGAACTGACCAAAACTGGTTACCACAACTGGCAACCAGGTCAGCCAGATCTCAGTGCCAAAGATCAGACCTGTGCAGTGGTGGACTCTGATGGATCATGGAAAGATGAAACCTGTGACTGGAAATTATATTTTATTTGTTACAACGGTAAGACAAATTCTGCATTTCTTGATTTGAATATTAACTAACAACTAGGCTGAAAAGCGGTGTATAACTGCCGTCTCTGGTTGAAAATTTGTTTGGGTGTTCTATGTTGCACCCCTCAGTAATGTCACGGTGTACTGACACACTCTATAGTCCACTGCTACATCACTACAGCAAGATGAGAAGTTAAACAACAGGATGTCAGCCTAAACAAGATTTCCAGCTGCTATTAAGTTGGTCACACACACACACACACACACACACACACTGTCTACTGATGACAATATTGAGTCTTTGCAGCTGTAAAATAGTCAGTGGTGAGAGAAGTACTCAGTACCTGTACTGGAGTAAAAGTATCAGAACTACAAAATGGAATTACTCCATTATTTGTAAAAGCCATGGCTTCAAAATGTACTACAAAAGGATTGTCAGAAAAACTATTCAAAGTATGAAAAGTAATAGTATCATTATGTATAGGAAAATGTGAAGCTCTTCCCTTATTGATTAATGCTTTGTTACTTGAAATATTATGTAATGCCATTCATAATGTTAAAAAGATATCACATCTCCGCCCTCTTTACTGCCAGCTTTTTACCCCACCTTGTTTATTTCAGACATGGTCAGACTGCACGTGTTATAATTAATCCTGAACGAGTATACCAAGGCCCTCACAACTACTCATATCTACATACAGTAGTTGAGTTGTATGTTTACAAATACTACCATCTTCTAACACTCATTTTACCGTTTTTTCCATGATAGCAGCAAATCCTCCAGGCCAGAAAATATTTAGTATAATTAGAATCGGTCTGACATGGGAGGATGCCCGGACTTACTGCAGAACACACCACACAGACCTGGCTATGATCGAGAATGCTCAGGAAAACATAGCCATGAACATGAGGTCATTATACGGTTATTGGATTGGCTTGTACCGACTACCATGGAGGTGGTCCGATAATAGCAGCAGCTCCTTCACAAACTGGGGAAGCGGACAGCCTGATGGTAAACAGAACTGTGTGGCTGAAACGTCAGACCACAAATGGGATGATGTGAGATGTGACAGCGAGCTTTCATTTTTCTGCCATGGAGGTGAAAATATATATAGATTTCATAAATACACTGATGGGGGTTTTTTTTCAATGCAATAATATTTATCTTCTTTGTTTGTGGTCATGTGTTTGTTGCACTGTCCAGCCCTAAAACTGAAGAAGACCATGATTAGGATGAAGATTGAGACTGATGCTGACTTTTCAGATCCAGCTATTTACGCCCAGATCCTTCAACAGGTGAAACTATCTCCAATGTTATCTCTCTCTATCAGTTCTTAAAGAGGAACTTTTACACATCAAAGTGTGTTTACAGGTAGTGGGGAGTACTGCTGCAGATGTGAAAAAAGCAGAGAGTTTGCTGCATAAAATCTAAACAAATTGATAATTCAGATGATCTTATGCCTGACAGATCAAAACAGCTTTGACTGGTTATTCTAATAATGTCCATCTCTCAAGTAACACTGTGTTCCATTAGCAGGCAATGACACTGGAAATGAATGATTTTTAGTGTGCAGTGTGTGTCAGATGCTACATTCCCAAAATGCTAGTGTCGTTTCAGTCAGGACAACTTCATCAAAGACTGATATTGCAGCATTGTAGTTATATTTGGCGGAAAAGCTCTGTTCTGGGATCACCCTGCCCTTGCACACGCCTATGTGGAAAACCATAAGGCAGGAAGAGCACACCTCTCTGCCCTTCCACAGGCATACACGGAAAGAACGAGGCAGGGAGCCGCAGTAAAGAACCCCTGTACAGAACAGAGCAGACAAATGCTGAATTACGTAATAATCAGATACAAGATGGCACTGAAACTCTGTGTTAAACTGGCCTGGGGTTGAAGACCCCGCAATACAAACAAACACATGTGGGCGCTGGCCATTGTGGAGGCTGCAGTGGAGACGGTGAAGTGAAGGTAACTCTGAACAAGTCAAGATGGCCACAGCTACCCTCGTTACTGTAGTACGTGCAATAGAACCTCACGAATAAAGGACAACTATATCGAGACATCTGGTTAACAAGCACAATGTAGAGGTGTTAATTCTCACACCTCGCTAACGCTAGCTTGACAATTACCTAGATGTTCAACGAGCTAAATGAAGCGGTCTGTAAAATAACTGTTTAGCTTAGATTGCCATGTAGCTTCAAATTGGCACATGGTTACCTGCAGTGATCAAAGCAGAGATAGAGGGAAGGAGACAGGAGGAAGGTGCCATATGCAATGCACGTCTTCTTAAACAGTGAAAAACATCCGACCCTTGACAACATGTTTGTTTGGCTCTAGCTGCCTGCACTGCGTCTGACTGCGTCTGCGCCCAGAGCCACTAACAGCGGCGCATGTTAGTATTCTTGATACTTATGAATAAATTCTCAGCCATTTCCGACATGATTCTAATAAAGAAATATGCCCCATCGAAGCAATAATTATTGTACATTCCTATCAGATACAACCTAGGGAAGCAGCAAGGACAGGCAGGCAGGCTAGGTCATCTTAAATAGGTGCCGTGTATGGAATTTGTCAATGAATGCTAGAGAATAATCAGATGAGCTGTCAGCTGATGTGGATGGCTTGAGATGGCTGCTATCAGCTAATGTGCTGGGATTGTGAGCTGAGTTAGACTTCGTTACCTACCTGAACTAATGCAATGCTTTATTTTTTGACAATGGTCTTCTGATAATACTTTTATTCTCGCTCAGCTAGGTGCAGTGCTGACAAACAAGTCTTCACTGACTGACTTCAACCTGGGGTTGAATATTCAATCCAGAAAACAGACAAAGAGAAATGAAGAGAATGATGAAGAGAATGGAAAAGATGTCCTTTGTAATTGATGTTTTCAACAAGCTGCAAAGGCAGAATGCATGTAACCATAATAAATGTAGCTAGATTACTTTGTTGATCAAGTCCAGTAGATTTTATAATCTATCATGAAATACACTGTAAAACAAAGCCTGTTGTAATCTTCACTGACTGTGCTCTGACTCAGCCTGACTCAGACTCAGAAGTGTTGCTCAGGGAAAATCACAACACATATACTAGATTGTGGTATTTTTTGTGTTCTAAATGTAGTTTTTTGTCTATGATAGGTAGTACAACAAGAAGATTACATTGCTTTCTGTTATTGTCTACTTAATAAAGTTAATGTACTGCATAAGATTTTTCCACATGAAATATAATTAATGCCAGATTTTTCCCCCTCACTCAATAATATGACTTGATATAATCAGTTTTTGTTTTACTTGACTTATTATACATTTATTAAATTTCACAGTTTGCACAAATCTTTTACAAGGACTGTAAAAATGTAGTGCATGTTAAAACACAACTGCTATCGATTACAGTCTTCAAACCTCAGACTACAAAAAGAGACAAAACATTCTACTTATCAATGACCAGACTTTAATATCCGGTGCCAATCAAGATGGCCTTTGTGAGATTCCTCATTTGCATATTCAAATATGTGCCCACTAAAAAGCTGCAGCACTTGTTTATCAGTCTGTTTCTTTTCACTTATTATGTTTATTATGTCCTTGTATAATAAAACCAGCTGGGAAATTAATTTATTTCTGATTGTTTTGTCTTACACTTCCAGCACTAACACACTGATTCACAAAAATGTGCACAAGAGAAAGAGAAAGTCGTTTTTGCATTATCTACTGCTGGAGACCCTACCTTTACAATTAAATCCTCACTCTACAATATTTGAAATTATCTCTGTTATATCAAATAAATGTATTTTTGTGGACTGATTATAAAATCATAGGTAATTCAATATCATAGTATTCTCATCTTGACTTGCACCAATCTTTTAAAAGAAAACTAAAAATTGTGAAGCACTTTATATTGAATATTGCTTTAGATTATCTGACATCAGACTGCAAAAAGAGAATACATTCTACTTATCAACAACCAAACTTTAAGATCATGTGCCAATCATTCTTATATATATATATATATATATATATATATATATATATATATATATATATATATATATATTGTATATTAAAATATGTGTCTGCTAAAATTCAGCACAGCAGTGTATCCTTTTCAGAGAGGTCCCTTGAACGATTACCAGCAGATGTGAGAGATTCCAACTTTGGGAAGTTTGCTGGTAAGAGTTGACCTGAAACGGCTTAGCTGGTAGCAGAGTTTGGACTGACACTCCTCCCTCACCTATAGTCACACTTTGTCCATCCAGTTTGTGTCTGATAGGAGTTGTGGTGCAGATCAGGGAGTCTCTCCAGCCTGTGTGGTTGCATGCACTAGGCACAAATTACAGCTGTGTTACCTGACGCTAACAGTGTTGATGTGGTTTCAGAGGTCCCTTTTTTGTCTGAGTAGCCCTTGTGGCTGTCTTGCGGTGAGGTTGTTCAGGAGCAACGCAACAATGTCTCTCTGGGAGAAATATTTCCATTCCTGCCATCAGAAGCACGTCTTCTGTTTTGGGTAAATTATGTATTGTAACTCATCAACACCCAAACTTCACACTATTAACTCATCCACATTTACACCACTGATGTCTCTGACTGACACACTCTACATCGGTAGTTATTGCTTCCATTGTTTAAATATGTCTATTATTGGCAGTCCACCGTCTCCGTATTTGTCATGACATCAGAGCCGGGTTATGACACTTATGACACTGAAATTGACCAGACACTCTTCAGGGCTTCCTCAAGGCATGTGGAGGATGTTTACAGGAAGGCCCAGCAGTGACTCTTTCTGCTGCGGAAACTTAGAAGTTACGATAATAAAAGCCCTGTACTCAACATCCACGGTTAAGTATTTCCCCACTTGAGAAGGTCCTAGATGCTTTTCAAATTCAGGGTAACATTAGCCACTATCTCTTACAAAACCTCAGCCAACATTACACGAGATAGCGTTACATTTGCTAAACACCTGGATAATTCCAAATCGTAAAAGCTTTTTCCACTGTATCGTCAAAGAGATAATATTTAGGACATAGGGAATATGTTCAAACATAAAGAATCATACATTTTTACTGATAACACCAGGATTAACTGTTTTGAATTGAGAACAAAAGTATTCTAACATTTCCTCTCCATCATCAAATTACTGCAGTCCTAAACAGCGTTGGACCGACTTCAATCTGCAATGGAAGTTTCATCCAATCAGTGTTTTCTGCAAGATTGGCCTATTTTATTATTATAATTTAGCTTTTTTTTCTATAATATTGATAAACATAAGAAAAGACTATTTGTAATATGTATATAAATGTAGTAATGGGATAAAACAGAAGATTCTTTCATTCAGTTTACATTCAATAAGCTGTCCATATTATATCAATATGGCCAAAGCAGATCAGTCATTGTAAAATATCGCTATTGCTAGTGACAATAACTGATAAATCTGCAAAGTTGCATGAAAATGCATCCAAAGGCAATTAAACTGCCAAGTAAGTCTAACAAAGGTTGACGAAGGTCATCTGTAAGCATTTCTGAAGGAACTCATCTCAGTAAAATCACTTCCTTTGGTTGATCTCCGGCTACCAAAGCCTCACACTGTGCTGTGTCCTCTTAAGGTAAATTAGACATTTGCAAATCACATTGCCTTGCACATATTCTGTGGTTGTACTTTAATACCCTGGCCAGGCAGGAAAAGCACTTTAGTTTTGCATTTTAACTTGCATTTGAAGGATCAGGATATTTAAAACCCACACCTGAAAATTTGCATCACTCAAACTGAGAAATCTTTTGTCAGCTTGCCAGCTGTGGAAGAACATTTGTTTTTGTTTTATTTGAATTGAATTCCATGAATTGTAACACAATAACACACATGCAGTGTTTTTAGCTATGCAGCATAATGACACTAGTCTGATCTGAGGGCAACATTTGCAATGAATAGGCTCATGGCCACTTGTACAATAGTTAAAGAAGGCTTTTTGAAATAGTTTGCTTCCAGTAATTAGTATAATATTTCAAATATATCTTGAAATGGGTTTTTAAGTGTTTTTTTCTTTACTTTGACAAACTAAATGTTTGTGAGTAGAAGGCAGTGTAGATGTTTTCTGCCTTGTTACTCAGTGTGGATTTAATGTTACACAATAAGCATCTATCAATGAACACATGAGGTGTGAGTGTGGATAACAAAATCTGTAAGGATGACCTCTGACTGTGAGTTCAAATCTGCTGATTTTGTTTGTTTAAATTGTTTTTAGGTTCAGTATTATAAAAAAACTAACAATAAAAGGTGAATTCGTTTGACTAAAGTCATTGTGGCATGTCGCAAAATTAGGGCAGTCCTGAATGCGAAATGTTTCTTGATCCCCCCCAGGTAAAGGGAATATAGCTGGCATGTTTCAATTATCTTACTGGCCCACAATGTTCCAAATTAAATGATCAGTCAGGAAAAATGGGCAAATACAACTTCAAAGAGGAATGTGATTTACAGAGAGCTTTTTTAAACCTGCTCAGTCCCTGTCATCCTGTTGCTGCTTGTGTGGCTGTGAAAATAAAGAGATATATTGCACTAATAAATAGCTAGCCCATTGGTGCCAGGCTCAAAGTAAAAGTTTACAACTGGTTGTAAAAGAGCAAAGTAAGTCTTACTGCTCTTACTTACCATTTGGTGCAATGCCATATTTGGACAAAAGGCTAAGGGAAATGCACAAAATGATAACAGACAAAAATGATTTCACAGCTTTAACCCAAGATTATTTTTGTGTGTGTTTTTGTGTATTTAGGGTAGAATTCTTTGATGATTTTGATCAAATCAAACACAAACCTAAACAATAAAAATATAAAGTACATAGTTCTGAATGTTTTATGGTTATATATTAAATGTATTATATTGTGTAACATAACATATGATATGTTATATACCAATTATGTTGTTATTATTCTTATTCGTATCATTATTATATTATTATTAATATTGAGAATACCTACATTTAGTGTTTGTGGCAAAAAACAATCTCATTTGAAACTGAAACCATATTGTATTGCCATGAAATCTTGTGAAAATATACAAGATAGTTTCTTATAGTCAGAGATACAGTAAAGCAAAGACAAACTGATACTGCAGGAACACAAGTGACAGTCAGTGTCTTGGTTCACAGTTTTGTCCAGAGTAAAATATCTCCACAACTAGTGAAGGAAGTGCAGACAGTCTTCCTCCGATAAATCCCAGATAAATCCCAACTTGTAACTGACTGTTTATCTAGCACCCCCAATAGGTCAAAATGTGCACTTGTCCAAAGCAACGACAAGTCAGTCCATCATATTTACTCGCATTTGCCTCTAAAAACACCCACAGCTTGGATGGGACATGACATTAAAACAATTAAAACAAGTTTGACATGCAGCAAACTTTTGAAATGTTGAACTCATTGTCATGCATGAATGGTTATCCTGCAAATACAGAGAGATTTAGTTGGTGGTGATAGGCTTAATCAGCGCTGTGAAAGAGGTAACACGTTTGGCAAAGGCTTGAATGTAAAGGCTTGACGTTCACTTATGTAAAAGTCAACAAATTAGAGATCATTTTTCTTGCACAAGGATTTAAAGAATGAAAACAACCCACAAAAATGAAACTGCTGTAACTGGAATTAATATTATACTATTAGTAAGCTATACTATTATATGAAATAATATTAAATATAGTTAATATATTAATAGTAACTAACAGTATAAACTGTACCAATATGTGCTTTAAGTTATTTTTATGAATCACTTATCACTCTAATGAGTAATCAGTGTTTTAAATGTTTTAAAAGCTGTTTTCACTGTGTCAAATTTTCAGGCAAGGCTTTGGCAATATTTTAAGGCCCATGCAGAGTTTCCAGATAATAGGGTCTTCACTTCTATAGTCCTACACTGGTTTTCAAGCCATATTTGCACACAAGGAGAAGGAGCACATACACACATATGCAGTATAAATATGTCTGTAATAAATAGTTACTTTCACTGTGCTCCTATATGTTTTAGCTACCCATAGAAAAACTTAGGAAAGCAGTTGTGCAAACAGAGGTGGGAAAGTTAACAAATCAATCTTCATGCTTGAAGCCTTTTCACTTGTAAAACCAAAACATGTCCATGTCTATATTATAAAAACATTTTCAATAAAGCATAAATCTTATTTTTCTGTGCTTGTGCTTGTTGCTGATCTGGGAAAAACCTGCACTACAATTACTTCACCAGCTTTAGTTGCAGTGAGTACACTTGCTATTTTGAGTACATAAGTGTGTTCACACTGATCAATATCGTAAAATGCAGTGCACTATGAGTATCCGGATGGTGTACTCACAACGGTTAAAACGTTGAGTGTGGGACACTGGACCCTTCTCAACCTAAAAGTAAGTCTAACAAAGGTTGACGAAGGTCATCTGTAAGCATTTCTGAAGGAACTCATCTCAGTAAAATCACTTCCTTTGGTTGATCTCCGGCTACCAAAGCCTCACACTGTGCTGTGTCCTCTTAAGGTAAATTAGACATTTGCAAATCACATTGCCTTGCACGTATTCTGTGGTTGTACTTTAATACCCTGGCCAGGCAGGAAAAGCATAGTCCTACACTGGTTTTCAAGCCATATTTGCACACAAGGAGAAGGAGCACATACACACATATGCAGTATAAATATGTCTGTAATAAATAGTTACTTTCACTGTGCTCCTATATGTTTTAGCTACCCATAGAAAAACTTAGGAAAGCAGTTGTGCAAACAGAGGTGGGAAAGTTAACAAATCAATCTTCATGCTTGAAGCCTTTTCACTTGTAAAACCAAAACATGTCCATGTCTATATTATAAAAACATTTTCAATAAAGCATAAATCTTATTTTTCTGTGCTTGTCCAAATTTGTTCCAAGCATGGAAGTGGGCTCCTTGGGGCTGTTTGTGGCTGATCTGGGAAAAACCTGCACTACAATTACTTCACCAGCTTTAGTTGCAGTGAGTACACTTGCTATTTTGAGTACATAAGTGTGTTCACACTGATCAATATGGTAAAATGCAGTACACTATGAGTATCCGGATGGTGTACTCACAACGGTAAAAATGTTGAGTGTGGGACACTGGACCCTTCTCACCCTAAATGGTCGTCATCTTGGCGGCTACATAACAGAAGAGGACGGAAAGCTGCAGCAGTTGCAGTTGCTCCGAAGAACTCCACACTATTCAAATGTATGTTTTACATGTGTTTTTTCCCCACTAAGTAAAACTATACTGCTGTTCGATAGAAGCCATCAGTTTGTTTAATGGGTTCATTTGGCGATAATACACAGTCCGGTTGCATTTCGCCATTAAATATTGAGAGGAAGAAGAAGAAGGTTAAATGTTGCAATTTGAGACAACACTACCTTGTCAAAATTCACACACTACGCAAGTAAGTAGTACATAGTGTACACAGTGTAGCACATGGAAGTGTACTAACGGAAGTATCCAAACTGAGACAGAACAAGTTTTTATATCCCTACCCGCTGCCACAGGGGCTGAATAGGTGCACTCCTACCACAGAATGAAAAAAAAAGTGTAATAAATATAATAATTTTTGAAAAGAGCAATCAAGATGGAGAGCAAGAAAAAATGACAGCAATGCTAAATGGGACAGAGGGAGGAGGAGGAAGATGAGGAGCCGGGGGAGGAGGGATGAAGGAGGAGAAAGAAGGAAAGGGGAAGACTGAGCTGGAAGGGAGGTCCAGCAGCAGCAGCAGGCTGTAGGAATGTTTCACATGCCTGTCCTTTGGATGACCTCGCCTCCCTGGAGTGTGGGAGATACTGGGAGTAATTAGCCTCCTTTAACATTGGATCTGTGCTGCCTCTACGCCTCAATGGGGTTAGCAGTGGCATTGAAGGAGACCAAGTGTATATATATTTTCAAACAAAATAGCTTTAGATTTCTTCTTTGGCACCACCCACCTGCATCACTGTCTCTGTGTTAAATGATGCATTAAAACCCTTTTCTATCTATGTCTTTTTTGTTTTAGGTTTTTAGGGCATTTAAGTCATTTCCAGATGATAAATGCTCTAAATTAGGTTCATTATTTTGAAGTGGAACAGATTTCCTTCCCCCCACCCACCAACCCATCTTGCAGCTGACCTACTTTATCTTCCAGTAGATTTAATTATGGATCCTCCTAACTGCAAATATTTCTCACTTAAAGTCAAAGATCAAGAATTGAAATGGACGTGAATGAAGAAAAACAGAGCCTAAAAAGTATTGATTTTGTAAAAGGCCACATGGTTTCAATCATGAAATGCCAATACTGGAACATCAGTGTTATCTGCTTTGTTTTGAATGTCCTTTATGGCAAACCATAAATCCAGAGCTAAAAACCTGAATGTTCTCTTGCATGCCGAAACTACGGTTGGGAATAATTTGAGTATCATCATCATTCAGTGAAAACAATGGCTTTATTTTTTTTATTTATTTTTTTTTTACAATTTCGGATGATAAGGTTTGCAGACCATGCTTATTCAATGGTTTTGAAAATTCCACTTCTTCTTATACTCTTATAATTTTAATGAAAGCATTTAAAAATGTTTTAGGTCAGTTAGTATGTTTATCTTCTAGGGCTATATTACAGAAAACCTCCTAACTTTCTGTTTGGTAACCAAAGTCAATGTTTCTATCCTACTTTCATTGTGAAAGTAGTGTATTACGTAAGAATCCTAACTTCCTAAATCTATCCTGACTATAGGATAACAATCCACCAGGTAGTGTTAACTAACTTCCTTACCTATGGCTGCTCTTTTATTATTTTTACGCAACCACCAAAATGTCAGCAGGCAGAACTAAGGTTTATGGCATAGCCCACTCTCTTTTCTGTATCTCCCAAGTTGGCATTGTTGTAAATATACCAAAAAGAACATGTATGGCTTTCTATCCAGATGTTACCATGTAACTCATCTGTCTTAAAGTTAAGTGCAGTTGTTGTTTTTGCTCCATTTTCTGTATGTCTAAACCTATGTTTCAGACAAAAATAATGTTACAGTCATTTAGCTCGGTGCGATAAGAAAAGTACCATTGGTTGCTAAAAAACATACAAAAGTTGATCTGTTGAACTGAATATTTGGGATTTCCTAACCTGAGATAAGATAGGATGAAGCAGCCTAACATAAGATATGATTCATAAAGTTACCTATGATTTGCTTCTGTAATACCAATTTGGGAAACATTACTTATATTCATTTATGGTAATGCTTGTTCAAGCTACTTTTACAGTTATTCACTGTGTATCTGAGAGTTAGGTGAGGAGATACCACGAGGCAATTAGCTTAGCTTAGTATAAAGACCAAAGTTCAAAAATATATAGCACATTTCAACAACAAGGCAAATCACATTACATAAAACATCAAAGCATCATAGGGAAATATTTAAAAAATAAAAACATTTAAATACAGTTTTTAAAATTACCGAATATAACTATTTGTTCACCCATAAATATAATGGGTTATGAATAATCAGGCTTTTCACCTTCACATTGTTTTGCTTTGTATGGATTAAACAAACCTATATCACAACCCTAACGAGCAAGCTGAACTTCGGACAGAGACAGGCTAGTTGTTTCCCTCTGCTTCCAGTCTTTATGCTAAGCTAAGCTAATGACCTTCTAGCTCTCCATGCTTGCTTTAAGTGGCATAACTACATTGAGGACTACAAGTCTGAAAATTAAAACATCTAGGGGTGTGGAGTTACAAGTGAGCTCACCAGACCTCTACAGTCTGATCCTCATCCCTATTTGAGGTTAGAGGCTGGAGGTTACATTAGCTGGGCAGTTCAGTTGGTCCAAAACATTGTGGATTTGCATTGTGGGTAATGTAGGCGCAACATTTGTATGAGGGAAGAACACTGCTGGGACTAAAATCTCTGGTTCGGTTGCATTAATTTTCATACTTTTTTGAAGTTAAACTTTGTTTGAGGTAGCTAGTCCTCCTTTCTCTTTAGTCCACCACAGTACTGAATGATTAGTTTTTCTTGAGTACAGGACTTCAGTAGACTACTGCTAGTGATGTCAGAAAGTGGCTGGGTCATATGAAGGTCAGCAGCGGAGGAGGTTCACGGAGAGTTCACCCGCATACATTAGGTAACACCATCGGTCGCTGTGACATAACTAGTTTGAAGCAGGTTGAGTCGAGACATTCGTCAATAAAGAAGCGATAAGAAGAAGAAGAAGAAGAAATAGAAGAAGAAGTCATGGGACAAACTTTGTTATGCAAAACAGCAGCCACCAGATCTGGATGTGATTAACCCAAACGGTTGTCTCTTTGCTGGAGCACTAACAGTCCGCTGGCAACATGCAAACAATTTCTGACTGGGAAATACAGCTCTGTTTGTAAACGCACTTGCTGCTACAGACACGTTTTAAAACACCGTTTGCGTCAAGTAGCCATAAACACCGGTGCAAACTGAGAGAAAGAATTGCCTATGCGGGCAACATGTTTGACTATCTGGAATTTCAAGCTTTCGGTCCCGGAGAAATCACGGACTTCTACACCACCTCCAGCCCTGCCTGCATGCTGCAGGACCAGGAGCAGGATTTGGCAGCCTTCTTCCCCGAGCTGATCGAGACGGACTGGCAGCAGCACCGGTGCTCGCAATGTAAGTTGAAGCTGATGTTGTGGTTCAAACTTTAATCAGTGATGCTTTGGTGAGTCTGTGACCTACATAAAGAAATAATCCGCTTATTATCAAAACATAAATAAATAATGTTAGGTCAAGTTCATTTGAGGTATGTAGCCCAAAATCAGAAACCACAAATGTGCCTTAAAGGGCTTTATCTGCCTGACACCGTCAAAAAGACGTTCATATGTTTGATAAACAAAAAAGTTGTGTTTTACTTTCTTAGACTTTAACAGTTTTACCCCTATGTCTAACTTAACTATATCTTACTGTAGTTTGGTATTTACTTTAAAAAGCAGGTGTTGTGCTACAGCATCAGAATAATCCTCCCGTTGGAATAACATTTCAAAACATTAAGGTCCACAACTAGACAGGTGGAAATATGGGATAAATCCACTGCGTTGTTTTCTGACCAGTTGTGACTTTTTAAATCAACCAATCAGCCAAACTTCATTTGCATGGCATCTTTCATACAGTGTTTTAAAGATGACTGACACTCTGATAATAAGCATTTGTAACAATTTGACTTTAATGCACAACAGAAATAAAAATGATATAAATGATATAAATAAATTATAAATTATTAAAAATGAATAAAATAGGTAAGATTAGATACATTTTATACTTAAAATATCAAAACTTTCAGCTGACTTTAGGCAGGTGCAAGACCATGAAGTGCTTCAAAAATAAGTGAAAGTATATTAAACTCAACACAAAACTGACATTAAACCATGAAAATGCAAGGGATTTCCTGTCAATATAGTATGTTCTTGGTTCAAAATCTCTACACTGTATCCATGTCCACATCAGATTTATTCAGAGATTGATATTTGTTGAATAAAGGTCATTTAAACTCAAAATTTTAGCATTCCACTAATCATCCCTGAAAGACTTACCATACTGCATTACTTTACTTTAAACTCCCTATTTAACATTTATAACCGGTATATAAATATTTAATGAATTGTTTATAAAAGTATGATGTTGTTGTAACCAGATATACATATTTATTAATGTAGTCAACAACTATAACTCATATGGGCACCCCTACTGTAAGTGGAGGTTGTTGTACAAACACATAATGATTGACAATATACACATTTGTAATAATATTCTTCTAAGAGGTTAGCCTTTAACTTTTGACAAATACTGCACATTAATAAATACTTAAAATGTCCTTAAAGCTGCATATACCCACATTATTTTGTGCTATAACTAATTTGTTTATTGTTTTATATGCTGCTTATAATGCCAAATCGGGAGGTAAAGTAAAGTGTTACCTATTCTACTTTTGTGCACTCTTAGTCTATATGCTGTGATGCTTTTCATGGTGAGTTTCTGCTTGCAGGAGCTTTTGTTTTAACAGAAAGGGCGGACATGGAGAGCAGCAGAAAACAGAGCACTGTATTTGAGCACAGAGCAGTTCATGACAGTGTGGTGGTCTGTGTTTGGGCCGGGGCGGGCAGGGCCGGTCAGTTTGGGGTCACTACGGGTTCACCGGACGGTCACCAGCTCAGGAGGTCAGAAGCAAGCCAGACTTGCTACTCAGACGTAGTTTGACACATGTAAAAATGCCCATTTACATGTAAAAGTCCTGCATTGAAAATCCATTAGTATTATTAGCAAGATGTTCTTTAAGTATCAAATGTGCAAGTACTGGTTTTGCAGGGGGAAGAAAACCTATAATGTGTGCCGTCTTATTAGAGCCATTGTAGATGAAATAAATAAATTGTGGAGCTGTGGGAGGGGGATAATATTCCGAGAAAAAACTTGGATATTCTCTGAAAAAATTATTTTTCATTAATTATACAAGACAGTTAAAAATGCTGCTTGAAAGCATCGGTCACAACTTAGTTGTTTAGAAATGTCTGCAGTTGTTCCCCAATGTTTTATGCTTCTGGTCTTTGAACAGGAGGAAGTATCTCATAATTATGGTTAGTGAAAGTACCTTAGATATGACGGCTGTTATTAACATCTGCATACCCTGCTTTTAATTTAGAGTAGCAAGTTAAGCTTTTTGTTGTTCTACACAACCACACCATGCAGGTTCTTTTACTCGCGTCTCCTTATCTTTTCAGGCTCAGTATTTTACAGCTAACTTAAACTTTTTTGTTGATTTAAATGGTTGACTTACACAATGCATTGTCGCACACATCAAATAACACCGTCTAAATTGGGGTGAGGGCAGCCTCTTTCCCTCTTCCCCCGACCAAATCACTTACACCGCCCCACCACACACACTCTCTGATTCTTCTCTCTCCCGCTCATCAGTCAGCTGGGCTTGTGGCATGCTCCTGCATTGTCTTGTGTTGGGGCTAATGGGGGTGTCCTCATTTAACCCTCAGTTTCTAGGTTCAACCAGAGGCCACAGGTTCAAGGGGATGTAGATGAGCAATTTTTCTCATTTTGTCCCCTTTTCAAAATGTCTTTCTTCGTTTTCTGTCAGTATTAGAGCGGTGTAGGTGATCAGAGAGCCGGCAGGGAGGCTGAGTGAGCCCCACAGACTGGGGCAATTCTCCTCTCAAAAGTGGCTGTAAAGGGGCAGGTTGACTTTTGTTAGTGATGGAGTGAAATTATACATTCAACTGGAAAAATGGAGGGTACCAATGTTCTACAATTGTTACAGCTGTATATATTTGATAGAGGTAAATTCTACACGAATACATTTTCATTTCAGCTGGTCTGTGATGTTTCAAGGAAATCAAAGACTGGTGAGTCTTGCTTTCTTTGGAAAGAGTGCCCACTCTCCTATTTATGACACAGTTTCGGCTTCACCTTTTTTGCAAACTGAGCAATATTTATGAGTAAGTGGAGGATGGGATGCTTTTCTCTGTTGCTGCCTGTTGCAGCCTGATAAAGACTGATGAGATCAATGTAGATTTACACAGAAATAGGCCTATACTCTTAGATCATTACTTGACTTTAGTCTGAAATCAAATAGCAGCTTTATGAAACTGAACAGACTGAGTAAGAAGGCGAGTCTGTGCCTCTATGAGGACCATAGGTGAGGATGAACACAGCTAGATTACTTCTCATCTTCAGAATGTTTTTATTTATTTATTTTTATTTATTTGTGTACATATGATTGCGTTTTCTATAAATATTTAATTTTAAAAGGATGTAACTTGCTGTGTAATGTTTGCACAACATCTGAAGCCCCACAGCCCACATTTATTTTCTGTTAGTTACAACATTGTAACAAACATTGTACTTTTTACTTCACTACATCTCGTTAACGGCTATGTCTTTATTGAGGCCATCATGTACTTGTTAGACTGATGAAGGTAAATTGCCACGCAACAAAACAGAGATCCTTTATCTTGTTGCACATTATGTGTTCATAAAATAAAAAATACATATCATCTTTCAGGACCTTGACGGCTCCATAATTTGACACTCTGAAAGGGCCCATTTTGCATAGTGAGTACTTTAAGTTATGATGCTTAAAGTCATTCTAACGCTTTTACTTGTAACAAAGAATTTTTGGTGGTATTTCTGCTTTTACTCGGCTCATAAGCGTCCTTTCCGATGATACTTTGATGCTGCTGTCATGAAATCATATGCTGATCAGATTTCCCTTTGTTAAGTAAAACTCGAAAAGTTTAGACTTACTTGACTTGAATTACGGTATATTATATTCTCCCTGCTGTGCTTGTTATAGTGTTGCATTGTGTTGTGGTGTGTGTTTGCAGCAGTTGGAAGCCAGAGTTCCAGCTCCAGCTCCAGCTCAGACGACCTGTTCGCCAGCCCCCCTTCCCCACTGCCCCCTCCTCGCACTTACAAGCCCTGTTTTGTGTGTCAAGACAAGTCTTCAGGCTACCACTATGGAGTCAGTGCCTGCGAGGGCTGCAAGGTAATGTCAGGCCTGTGGTCTGCTTCACAGCATGCTCTTCACTAAAAACCACTGCTGTTATGCTCTAATAAACTAATTAGCAATGAACAGTATTCTCTCAGACATTCTGCTTTTATGCAAGCAGTCATTTTGTAAATGTGTGTCATGCTCTACAAAAGGAAGATGCCTCAGCTTGGGATGAAACCTTTTTAGTGACTGTAAAACTAATAAGAAAATAATTTAAATAATTAAACAAAAGAAAATAAATATATAGTTAATATGTTTGTAATGTTTAATATATTTTTCCAGGAATGCTTCATTATGTCACATCTGTCTGTTATTGACTGCTGTATTTGCTCAGAGAAAACATTACTACAGGGTCTGAACTTTGTCCTGATAATCCAGCGGGAGTAACATGGTGTTCAGTCAATATTACACTAACAATGACATCCTTCTAGACAACATAAACAAATGTCTTTTCAACAATCGGCTTCCTCTTGTAAATAGATCAGAGATGTCTAATTACACAGATATTTGTAGTTTTGTTTTTGTACTTTTACCCTTCCCTTTCCAGTTAACTTAATTTTAGTCTGTGACATTTTTTTTTAGAATCAAACTTAATTCCTGCTCAAAATCAAGCTACTTAAAGTCATAATGGCTGATTCAAAAGCATAGTACACATAATTGGGGTTTCATTGCTAAAACAGATTATTTGATATTATTCCTAGTTTGATTGGCAGACAAGAAAAGACAACCGAGTGTTTTCTGATGCTGTTAATTTTTTTTTTTTACTAAATATATTTTACCATATACATTAATAATGATTTTTATGGTATAAGTCAACATCTGCCAATGGATTGGCACAAAATTATGTACAGACATTCACAGTTCCCACATGATGTATCCCAATGACTTTGTTGATCCCTGGACCATTCCTCTAGCCCCACCAGCAGGTCAAATATTTCACTTTTTCAGTGAAAAATATCAATATCTGATGGATGGATGGATTGTTTTTATTATAATAAATAAAGAAAATGTAATTATACGTTATACATTCAAACAGGATATTTTATTGTGTTCTTTCACATTAGTCAGTTGTTGATTTTTACACAGAAAAAACACAAATATGACTATAAACTCTTCAAATATAAGGGTAAATACATCTGTTTACATTGTCAAAACAATTCCAGATTAGGCCTTAAAGTTTAGGCAGGATTATTTTCATACTCTGGTAACTTACGTCATTAACTTCTTCTCTCTACTCTGCCATTGCCTCTGCAGGGCTTCTTCCGCCGCAGTGTGCAGAAAAACATGGTGTACACCTGCCACCGGGACAGAAACTGCATCATCAACAAGATCACCAGAAACCGCTGTCAGTACTGTCGGCTCCAGAGGTGCTTTGCTGTGGGAATGTCCAAGGAGTGTAAGTGTCTGATCCGCTCTGATTCAGCAGCAGGCCTCATGAGACTTGTTGTCTAAAACGTCCTTTTTGACTCCCTTTTATGTTGAACATATGTGGCATCTGTTGTAGCATTTTGTGAGATTCCAAAATAAGACAGTCGCTATCCACAAGAAGGATTTATCTTCGCTACCAAATGTAAATGTATTTAGAGGAAATAATGACATGGTAGATAGTAGATTGGTAGACATTTGGTAGGACAGTTTATTGTAGATGCACTTATTAAATAGAAGAAGATGCCAGAGGTGACTCTCAAGGTTGTAAATGTGAATCAACTCAGGTTTATCATTTGTGTTACATGTTCTGAGAGAAAAGCACAGTAAGGGAAATGCATATTTAGACTTTAAAAACTACTATACTGATGGTGTGAATACACATCTTTAGCTATCTTACAACAGGTAACTTACCAACAGGTACACTCCTATTTTAATCAATTCAACAGTTTAAACAGGCTGCATAACAGCAAGTCTAATTTATTGTTTACGCAAAATACAGGTGACCTTCACTCTATACTGCACTTGAAGTTGAACCCATCCTGTGTAGAGACAGACGGAGGACAGAAGCTGCCTCTGCTGCTCTAACATCCTGCTTAATCTACCCAGGCTGTGTAGACAGAAATCACAAAGTAAATACGTCAGTTTGAGTCAAAATTGTAAATCAAATTGAAAGGTACATGGTTTTCTTTGGACATTGAATAACATCCGGTTCTCTAAGTGATAAATATCTGATAATCTCGGTTTTATGAGGGTGTGTGTTGTTTTTATTATATGAAAACACTTTAACCTCGACCCTATCCAACCCTACTTTCCCAGGTTTTCGTGTCTAAGTGACTAATGGGGACAATCATTTTTGAAATTGGTCCTGTGTTGATTGAGAACGCTGCAGCTGGCCATCAATGTAGTCCCTTTTGTCTAACCAGAAACAGCTGTTAAATCGCGTTATACCGTGCAGATCATCGTATTTCATTCACACTCGACAGAAACAAATTAAAACTCACCAAAACTGTCTTGGTTTGTCCACTGTTTCAACAATCACTTACAATGGTTTTGTTGATATAAACCCTTAATTCACAGAGTTATAGACGCATTTAAAAAAATTTGAATATCGTGGAAAAGTAAATTTTTTCCCCGTAATTTAAGTCAAAAAGCAAAACTTTCATATATTCTAGGTTCATTACACATAAAGTGAATTTTTTTTTTGATGATTAAATCAAAAATCCATTTCTTTATTATCTTTATTATTTATTCGACAAACAAGATTTTTTTTAAAGGACATTTCTGAAAGTAAGCATTATTGGTCACTTAATAGGGATACTGTCTTGTTACCATATCATATCACATTTTTCTGTCCATGTAGCAAAGCAAAAATACAGATGGAGAATAATGTAACATGAAATTTATCCAACTACATATTTTACAACATTGACCAGGGAAACGCGTTACTTCTCTCAGTGACTATGGCCATCTTCTAGCTAAAGCCTTTAAATGACAGTTCATTTTCATTGCTAAAGTTGGAATAACTTTACCTGTCCAGGAGAAAACAGGCAACTTCAGCGCTACTTTGAAAACATTGGTCTCGCATCAGTGCCTTCCATCTGGGAAAATCCACACTGATGTTTATATCCGTGATATATACGTTTATATCACTTCTTTGACGACAAACATTCACGCTCCGTCGGTTGTGCTAAATAATACGTAGGCCTATTCTCCTCCATTTGTCCAAATTTCACATCTCTTCTTACTTATAATAAACCAGATGACTACTCAGAAACTGTATAATATTATTATTATTATTTCCTCTTATTAATTCTTCTTCGTACTCATTCAACATAGTGATGAGCCTCTACACTGCCCGGAATTATACAAGAAGAAGAAGAAGAACATAGTGACGACTACTGCACGGCAGTTTGTCCATTTACGGCTACTGTAGAAACATGGCGACCTCCATGTATGTGGGACCCGCAGTTATGTAGAGAGAAATGGCTCATTCTAAGGTGACAGAAACATAATAGTTCAATATGTAAGGCCTTTATATACCACTGAAAAAATATTTTATTGCATTTCTGTCAATAAATCCTCAGAAATATTACACACTGAACCTTTAACTTTGTAAGACAAACAGTATTTTTTTCACAGCTTTATGGGTCAGTTCACCTGAAGTTTGAAATCCACCCAGGGTGTAATCCCCCACTAATCACTAACCCACCGCTTTTCAGTCTTCAGTTTGATTTACTCATTAAAATCTCTCAACAGTGAAACTGCCAAAATCCAGACGAGAGAAACTCTGGGTTTATAAAAATGTTGAAACATTATCACCTTCTATTATTACCATGTGCACTAACAGCAATACACTTAAAGAGAAGCACTAAGTTGCCTTACGAACATCAATCAAAATAAGGCAGTAAAGAACCATGTTTAAATGTGATTTTAAGTAGGAATTAGGCATTAATTATACAGCAATTATCAAATTTCACCTATTTTGTTAGACTGCTCTTATAATAATAAAGATGCAATATACAAAGCACAGAAAAGAAATTTACCATAATATATTATTTTTTGGATTGACCAAACCTAAGCTCTTGTGGGATCAAATGAAATAGAGACAGCTAAAAGCAACGACAACATCTTTTGGGATTTAGTGCTAACGTTAACAAGCTTGGCAGACTACCTTCCATTTTTTTTATTTAATCACTACTAATACATTTAATTAAAGTCATTTCTTTTTTTCCTTTTTTTTTTCCAGTGGAAAACAAACTTAACAGCACGATGGGTCCTCCCAAATGTGTATTGTCATCAGCTGTCTAAGCTATCTAAGTCTGGGACAGATGACTTACATAGCAAAAAAGTTACATATACAACACCATGTTTGATTGAAAAGGGGGGAACATCTTGCACCAACATTTTCCAGTCAGAGGCGCAACATGGAAATTGACAGCACGTCCTCTAGCAATGCCGGTCCTCAGATGTCAGTTAAACATCGTTACCCCTGAATTCCTGGATAATATATAGAAGGACCTGAACTTGTCAGAGCGGATTACTATGGTGGAATTTAAGTCAATTGCAAAGGATTGAGTAACCAGTACTCTTGGTCATTATGATTGTGCCTGTATTTTCACTGGAAATGGTTTATTGGACATATTAGATTGTATGTTTGTTTGTATAGTTTGTGTGTTTGTGTTTCTTGTTGTTACAATGTTTATGCTTGGCCAGGTCCCTCTTGAAAAAGAGATTTTAACCTCAATGACACTTTACCCTGGTTAAATAAAGCAGTGCCCTATGAAATCTGTTTAAATTTTTCCCCAAATTCTGAAATCTGCATTTTACAGTTTAGGCAAATTTTGTCATCAGAAATAGTATGTGAATTGTCCCCTATTAAATAGAATATTACTTGATATTTCTTCCCACGGATCCTCTGGAGTACAGCCTCCATAAGTTGCTTGGCTTAGCTTTTTATTTAACAGAATAACGGACTCCGCCCGCACAGCCACAAAGTCTTCAACGTCGCGTTGCGTCTTGCATCTGTCGATGTAGTTGCACTTTTGAGAGTTTGTTGAAGTGAAAAGCTCTCACTAGTGTGCCATCTTCGGGATGACGGTATGTGTGTGTGCATGTCCACTCTGGGTGAAACACGGACACAGAGAGCAGAGGAGAGAAGCAGAGTGCTTGGAAATACACATACATGAAAACAAAACATAGCAGTGTAGTTTTTCTGTTTGTTTGGCCAAAGTGCTATAATAGTAACTATATATATACTTATAGTGCTAGGGACCGATTCCATTTTTATGTTTACCTGCATGTCCAGACAAACATAGCAGTAAGAGGGAGTGAATTAACCCTTTTAAATATACATTTTCAGATGCCTCATTGAGTCTCAGTTCTCACTGATCTCCACCAGCACCTAAGAGCCTTGACTGTGCAACAGAAACAAAGTCAAAGTCTCTGTTACCCACAAGTGCAGTGACCTAGATAACTCAGTGTGTATTATCCAGAGGGAGCCGAGGGCAGCGATGTGAAGGATCCACCCATCCACATGTTCTCATTGTTACAGCTCTGCACTCAGACACACACACATTACATAAATACATCACATGTACCATACAGATAGATGCTATGTAACTGCTTGCCGACTGTCTCAGTCAATGTGTAATGCGATCTCACTTGGAGTGTTTACACAATGATGACTGGATGTAGGGCATCCGGGAAGGATGACGAGGGTGTGTGTGTGGGTGTGGGGTTGGTGGTTAGCAAGGCAGAGACGAAGGTGTTGCATAATCCTGAGCTCCTCTGACATGTGTAGCTGCTTGGGCCAAGTCAGTGGGACGTATTGAAACATGTTGACACCATTACTGAAGTGATTATGAAAGGCTGACCTGGTTAGGCTGCAATAGCCTGCTTCACGTGCACACAGGAGAAACACGTAATCCACACAGCTCAAAGCCAACTGTCTTTCTTGGAAACTATTTTCTGCCGGAGAAAGAGTTCCACAGAAGACCACTGACAGTGAGTCATTCTGAGATGCTTTAAGAACCACAATTGAAATTCCATTTGTAGTTTGATGGAGGCAATAGTCCAAGTGCACTACATGGCCAAAAATATGTGGAAACATCTGTCAACATACTTCTTTGTACTTGAGACAGACAAGGCCCCTTAATTAGGCTGTTATGGTGTGTACTTTGACAGAGTTGTGTCTTTAGACTGCAGCCTTATTTTGCAGTAACATTTAGTAGTAAAAAGAATTTAAATATAACTTACTGAAACCTCTTCTGACACTGTAAAGGGCATGGAAAAGTATGGCTTTTAAAGTTGAATGGACATTTGAAATCTCCTGCAGCAATTGTGTATATATTATATATATATATATATGTAAGAGGATAAAACCATTTTAGGACTTATGTTTGTCTAAAGTTCAAGCCGCTGGGTGGGCATTTCATTTTGTACTTGTTGAATGGCATCTGAGAGCATTGCTAGGTGATAGATTGTTTATATACCATTAGCAATTTATGAGATTAATTAAGGTTAATTAAGTCTTTATTGAAGATCTAACCAGAAGTGCAAAAAGCATTAAAGTGCAGAGTAATGAACATATGTATAGAGTCAACAGTAAGGTGTAGATATAAAAACGCTAAATTATGTACAGGATGAACAGCCTGATATGAATATGCTAAGATACAGTATTATACAGTATGAACAAAAAAGATTTACAATGCAAATAATGACAACAGTGAGACATTGCATAAATAATTAACAGCTTGAGATAAGATATCAATATAGTGCATACACTCTAGATCAGATGCAGTATAAATATATATGGATATGTGAAAGCATATTATGTACTAAAGGTAAGTAAGTGTAAGTTTGTTTTCCACAAACAAAGTGGAAGCTAGTTAGCTTAGCTTGCTACAGGTAGCACTGATGCCACATCTGATGTTACCTTTTGTTACTTTAAGCTGTCTCTCTCTCATGAGTCCAGATGGCAAAACTCACAGCCAATCCAATAAACCTGTAACCTCAGCACTCCACATTACTCTGCGACTGTAATCAAGCCACAGATTTACATGTATATGTATGTATGTGTGTGTGTGTGTGTATATATTACACACGTTGGATAGATTTCTATGCAATAATACAATTAAGTTCCTTCTATAGATCCTGTTGCTGTTGCGTAGTTTTTTTGTACATATCACTGTATGATGTCACTCCCAATAATGTAAAAAAAAATTGTAATCATGGAAAGGTTTGTGTCCCATTGTCAATGTCAACGACCATATACAATTTTTGTTCAATGCAAAATAATCAGTTGAACCGATGTACCATTGTTTGAACAGTTTGAACTTATTTCCTAAATAATGTATCATAAAAGGTGCATCATCATTTTCCTCAGCAGTGAGAAACGACAGAAACAGAAGGAAGGGGAAGAAGGAAGAGGTGAAGATGACCATCATGGAGACGTACGAGCTAACTGCAGAGCTCGGCTTGATAGTGGAGAAGATCTGCAGGGCTCACAGAGAGACCTTCCCCTCTCTTTGCCAGCTGGGAAAATACACTACAGTGAGTCACGACATGAGAGCTGACTATTAAATTAATGTTCCTCTATGGAGAGAAAATAATCTGCTGAGAGGAAAAGCTGTGCTCTCAGTGCAGTGGTTAATTTCATTTAGATATGCATTTTATGGTTAATTGTTGAAGGTCAATATGATTTTAACTTGAACGATTTTAGCTGTCAATAGAAGATTTAACAGGAAATATACATGGAAGTGGAGAACTTGTTATTATTAATCTACAAAATATGACTTTTCCACAAACCAACACTGCAGAAGCAAAACAGGTATTGAGTTGAGATATTTTGTCAATCAAATTGGAAACAGTACTTGGTAGATCAGTATTCAAATATGAGCATGTTCACATGCTGTAGTTTTCATTTGTGCCAAGAAAATAAACATAGAATTAGTCACGACTAAACTTTAATAATTATTCATTAAGGCTTTATTGTATTGGTCCATAATTTTCAAATAATTTCCCAGGAGGTTTCCTTATAAGAACAATGTAATTTATCACTAAATATAGGGAAAATAGATTTCTGAGCTTTTAATTTAGTTAGGATTTAATCAGTTGAAGTGATTTCAAGAGTTTTCCTTGAAAGAGCTGCTCCATTTCAATCCAATATTTAATTTACTATTTATTCATTTATTATTGGAAACTTGATTCTTCATACATGTTTAATTGTATGCTTCCCTGTAGACAAATTCTTGCAGGCTGCACTAACTAAAAAGACTGATGCTAGTAAGTAATTGGAATTAATTCACTAGAAATGTACCAGTAGTAGACTGTGCTGGATGCTTACTACGGATTTGTGGCCCTTTTTTAATCACTTATGAATGCTTTTATTCCTTATAGAAGATTGGGGCTGGGGTTACAATAAACACACAAAAAGAACATTCATTTTCCAAACTGTGACTCATGCCACTATTAAAAATAACTGCACGTCCCTTCATGACTAAAAACGAAAAACTTCCCGGTGTAACACAATACAGTAATCCAACTGGTATAATGTGTCTGGGTGTGACCTTTTCAGAAACATGTGAATGTTTTTCACATCACATGTTTGTGGTTTGACAAGTCAGCAGAAGTGAACTAACAGACACATGCAGTGTGTTGTTCCATTTAAGAAAAAAAAAAAACGTTCTGCTTTGAGAGTAATCAGGAAACCTCTGACTCTTAAATACTTTGTGTATTCATCATTTTTTTCTTTCATTTTTTTGATTCTAATGTTTTCCTTTTTAGGGTTAAAAATCGTCAAGTTTAATTCATTTACCATACTGGAGAAGTCATAGTTGAAACATTTGTGCATTTTGATTAGTGATAGGACGATATCTAGTATTTTAAAATAATCGACATCTGCCCATACCTGCACTCACAATGATAATATATCATCCTAAATGACAATTGGAGCATTAAACACACCACATTTTCTGCTCCATTTTATAGTGGAAATGTCTTTATTTATATAAAGGGAAACAAAAAATTCAGCTGGCAGATGACAATTCATAAATATAAAAATATAACAGAATAAATAATCAGCAGCTAAGTTACGTTTTTGGGCAATGCACATTTGTTTATTCTATATTCTAAATTGCATTGCATGTTTTCTTTTTGTGCAAATAAACCTTTCTCAAAGCATTTTCATTTGTTAGTTAACATTTCTTGGTGCAAGCTATTTTTCAGAACATTTTTAACAAATTCAGCCAGTTCAAAATGTGGTGGCGACGTGTCTTCACTGTCCTCAGTGTAAATGACACCTACATCAGTAGAAAATTACCTGCCCAGCACCAAATAGAAGTCAGACAACGTTAGCGACTAGATAATAAACATAATAAGGCAATGAACAGCGACAGTAAAGCCAAATATGTCCAGTAGAAAACAGAGCTGAATATTGGACTCACATTCATCAGATCTCCAGAAGCACAGCTCCAAATGAATGGTAATGTTTCTCCATATCTGTTCTATCTTTAAATAGACAAGTGTCAGACACTTTCACCCTATCTCTTATATATCACCTTAAGGTGACTATATGTAAATGTTGTCTGTACAGCTTGTTGCGCTGCTGCCAAGTGGCCAAAATAACAATAATGGCTGCTTTTCTTGTAAAGATGATGCTTTTAAATTTAGATTATTAGTGTGTGGTAATTTAGTCAAATGCAGAGGCATTTGAAATGTATGCTCACCATCAACCCACAATGAAAAGAGCAGGTGTTGGTGTTTAATTCGGACATATATTTATAATCACATCATGTATTTTTAGCGTCTTTATTGTGTTTTTTTTTAATCCTGCATCTTCCTTGAGACGTGAACATCAACATCGCTTTAACAATAAACCGACCAGTATTATTTTTTACTTAATCAAGAACTCCAGCTCAGACCACAGGATCCAGTTGGACCTCGGGCTGTGGGACAAGTTCAGCGAGCTTGCCACCAAGTGCATCATCAAGGTGGTGGAGTTCGCCAAGCGAGTGCCTGGTTTCACCGGCCTGACCATCGCAGACCAGATCACTCTGCTCAAAACTGCCTGCCTGGACATCCTGGTACTTTTTGTTTCCTAAAATAACTTTCTACTTAAAGATTTGCCGTTGAGCCCTTTAAAAATTAAAACAAACTGTAGTAGAAACTTTGTGATCATGACTGCAATGATGAGCTGTAGGTCTACCTAGTTTTATTTTACCTGCATCCACACAAGTATTTTTTTAAATGGAGTGACATGAATTACAGTTGACTCACGCTGTCAACCAACATTCATGCCAAAGACAAACTCACAGGCAGGCTGACAGAGCAGCCCTCCAAAAAAGTGTGTCTCTTCTTTCATTCTCCTTCTTCCTCCGTTCCTCTCCTCATTCACTGCTAAGTCTGTCTGTCATCATCACCATCAGGGCCTGATTATTTAATCTGACACTCTGCGATAGCCTTACATGCCAACCTTGAGACCTAAAATATAGAGAGGATATTGGGGGGGTATTGGGGTCCTTCATAGAGACTTTGATTCCTGTGTTCTGGTGACTTTTAATGAATCAAAATAAAAATAAAAAGCACACTGCAACAGCATTTTTATAATACTTTTAATCTTAGTTATTTGCAGGTAAGAATACACTATTTACATACTGTAAATAATTCGCTCCTCTGGCATGAACTTGAATCTCTGGCATAAACTTATTCCAGGACATCTGCAATTTGCTTGCGTATTTCTTTCTCATTGCACTCTCCATTTCTCCATTTCTGCTTAATCCCTACCTTTACAACTGTATTTTCTTTATAGGCTGTTGAATTAAAATAGATCTAGAGAAATTACTGAAAGAAAGAAAGCTGTTTGCTTAATGGACACCAGTGAGTGAACACTGTAATCAATAGTTGTTTTTGAAGGTGCGTGTGTGACCTTTTGATATGATTGATGTTTGAATATAAAGATAATCATTTAAACATCTGAGCAACTATGCCGAGACAGATACACAAATGAAACGGCATTGCCACTTCCAGTATGTGCATTTGTTAAGCACCATTCAATTAAATATGTTACACTGCGATTTTTGAAAAAGTCCAGAGGGCCAAGCATGCTTTCCTGATTTTTGTTTAAAACTTGTATTAATGTTATTCATCAGAAACAGTTCACAGTAATAAACATTAATTAAAGTGTAGTTGAGCAGTAGTTAAGATTGATGTTAAAATGGCCATGTCTAAAATCTGAAATTTCTCATATATGATTTACAATTAGACACATTAAACAAACAAAAGGTAAAGTTGTAAAAAAAGGCAACATCTTCCAACAGGAAAAGGCTGACAAGACCAAGAGTCCACAGCAGTGCTAGCAGCTCTGTGTGGCTGTATTTAGGCACAGCGATGGTTTGAGCTAAATGCTAACATCACTATACTGACATGCATACAATGACACACTGATGCCTAGCAGGTGTTAATTTACCATGTCTACCAGCTGACTTTAGCATATTATCCTGCTAACATTTAATAATTAGCACTAATTGGTATGCCATTGTTTTGTCATTATGTTAAAATAATATCTTTAAAAAAATCAAATCAGTTAGGGGAAGTTTTGATGACGTGATACTTGTGTTAAACACGTTTACATTAATCATATCTGTCTTATACTCTTCTCTTCCACACCCTGTTCTTCTTCCATCTAGATCCTAAGGATTTGCACTCGCTACACTCCAGACCAGGACACCATGACCTTCTCCGACGGATTGACCCTGACCCGTACTCAGATCCACAACGCTGGATTCGGACCACTGACAGATCAGGTTTTCACTTTTGCCGGCCAGCTGCTGCCACTGCAGATGGACGACACAGAGAGCGGCCTCCTCAGCGCCATCTGTCTCGTCTCTGGAGGTACTGAAGCTCAGATGAAAATACAACCTTAGGACAGGTGTTACAGAAACCAACTGGAAAGAAAAAAATCTCAAATGTTGAAATTAGATGCTTATGATTGGTCTTTTCTGTTTCTGTGAACAGACCGGCAGGACCTGGAAGAGCCGTCTAAGGTGGAGGTGCTTCAGGAGCCGCTGCTGGAGGCGCTGAAGATTTACTCCCGCAAACGGAGGCCAAGCATGCCCCTCATGTTCCCCAAGGCTCTCATGAAGATCACTGACCTGCGCAGCATCAGCGCCAAAGGTCAGGAAGCAATGCTCTTCTTGTAAATCGTTGTCGTAAAAGCTCTGTAATTACTTGCATAATCATTTGTTAATTGAAGAAATTTAAGCAAGATAATGTAGCTTTTGACAAAAGAAATTAATATCTAATATAAGCAATAAAACACATCCCTGTCAGTTCAACTACAGCCTTACTGGTTCTGGTATGACCAGTAGCTTATGGTGGCTAATGTTAGCAAACTGTAGCAAGATATTGCTGTGCTGTGTATCATTACTGGCCCACTTATCTGACTTTGTTACTCTTCTCTAGTCTTACCACTGTTAAACTACATTTTAGTATTTACCTTTATCCTGTCATTACCACTAGTGACCACAGAAATTGCTGTTCAGCAAAAGTTACATAGGCCTGGTTTAAAGGAAAACACTATAATAAAAATAATTGGCTGTAATAACATTTTACTCACTTTTTTATTTATGAGCTCTGAGGACACAGCAGACGAAAATGCCCACAAATTAGCAGGAGAGCAATAAAACAGGCAGCAAAAGCCTCGTACCATTAAATTAGAGCATGAAAAAGGACATGCGTAGGTTGGCACAAGTAGCAATGTCAGCATTCCAGCTGGTCGTAAACTTGTAAGGCAGAATCGCAGAGGACCTCCCCATAGCACGAATTTTGAGACATCCAGCATGATGAACCGCTAAAGAACAACACAAACACAAACACAAATGCTATGAGAGCAGTAGCAGTAGCGTCATGTGTTTATAGCTTACAAGCTTCAAAGCATTTGTTAGAGTTGAAGCCGCTCTGATAAAAAAGCAACCTCCATCAGATACCATCAAGCTAGAGAGAGGCTTTGAAAGAAATTCATGTTTCTATGTTGTTAAAACTAACCACAAGAATGATGTAATGTTGATTTGTCTTGGAAATTCACTGCTACATTTTAAAAACCTCCTTTCTGATCATGACATTACTGTGCTCTTTATACTTTATCTCTGTATTCTGTGTGTGAGCAAAGTGTAAGTCATTGTGGAATCAATCAGCAGTTTTTGGTCTGGGATTCCAAAACGTTTAGCCTCCTGGAGGTATTTAGAGCCAACTTCAGTGAAATATTTCTAATAATGACATAAACTGGCTGTAATGTGTGCTTTGTAAAAATATGTCCCTTTCCACAGGAGCTGAGAGAGTGGTGACTCTTAAGATGGAGATCCCGGGCTCCATGCCCCCTCTGATCGAGGAGATGCTGGAGGATCTGCAAAACCTGGAGAAACACCAGAAGAAAGACTCGGAGGAGAGCAAAGAGGAACAAAACACCAGCCAACACACACACAAACCTTCTCATCACAGCACATGAACTCCTCTGACTTCGAACGCTGAAGCTGCTCAAAGGACATTGGCTCCTGCCCTCCCATCCAGAGAAAACTCTAAAGCTAATGATACACGGAGCAACTTTTAGAGCAATGTTGCTAGGCAATGTTGCCGTCAGTGGGCAACCGGGAGGGGGGGCAACAACCAATCAGAGGCGCAAATCTATTGCCAGGGACACAGACACTGCAGAGATGGACACTGAAACTTGTGCAGCTGTTATCTTGGCATCAACAGTTATTTTTCTTATGTAAGTAAAGTGAAAAACTGAGTAGATAATGTGGTTAATTTGCCATAATTATTACATACATTAATTCAATTACATACATACATTTCATCTTTCTTTCTCAGCGTTTTCAAACACACACACACACACACACACACAACAACTTACCGGTGTAAAAAGACGGCTCCACTGCCATGCCTGAGAGATATTGCTCAGCAAAATTGCTCAAAAAGTTGCCCCGTGTTATCATCAGTTTAACAGTATAAAGTACAGATGCAGTCTAGAGGGTTACTAATGTCTTACCTCAGTTTTTGGTTGGAGAGCTGTTGATGAATATTCACAGGCTAGTTGGCAAAACATCATGTGCTTAAAGAAGAGATTCAGTTGTTAAACGACTACACTGATGACAGAAGAGCTAATTCCTTAATTCAAACTCAGTTTCGGGGCAGGGGGTGCAGTAAAGTTTACTATATCACAATTAAATTTTTTAAAAACCTCCTGACAGGCACCTCATAACACCTGAGCGTCCAACTTTTCTGTGTCAGGTTCCTACTGTATTTATATTTGCATGAGATATCACATGAATTTTTACCTCATTAAACAACAATGCCTTTAGCATTAGTGTAGCAAAGATCATAAACATATGGACTATTATATGGCAATTTCTTTGAGCTTTTTTCATATTATGTGATTTTTTTCACATCTCTCACCGTCTTCTCGTTTGTACACACAATTTATAGACTTCCGTACGTAAACAGAAAGCTTACTGCACAAAAGGGAAACATAAACTTGACTTAACTCATGAAGGTGAATGTTATAACTGGCATTAACAAATATCTCAAGTGTATATAGCTGAAATAATAAAGGAAAATGAGAAAGAACGTACAGATACAGCAAATACATCCATAAAACACCATGATGCAGTTTAAAGGAATAGTTTGACATTTTTGGGAAAAATGCATATTCTCTATTTTGCCAAGAGTTAGATAAGAAGATAGTTAATACTTTCGTGTCTGTTTAATATGAAGCTGGAACCAGCAGCCAATTAGCTTAGCAGAAAGACTGGAGCTGCTGTGATACATTTTGCTGGAAATCTGTCGATTGTTTTGCCATAACAAATATAAAGAGTCTGTACACTGTAAGTAAGCTAATACACTGTATTCACTATATTCTATGACACATATTATAAAATGTGCCAGATGGCATATTTGCAGTTATTGGTGGGCCTGGATATTGTTCGAAATGTTCAACTTTCTGTATTGATACTCAAAAGATGTTTTTTTTTATATATATACTTTACTTGATAAGTTCTATATAAACATGTTTTTTACAAAAAAAAATTTCATTTAACAAAATATCACCTCATCACAGATAGCTGTACATGAATTTTGCCTAAATAAAATGCTGTGTACTCTAGAAATAATACTAATAATTTGAAAAAACATGAAATGTAAACCAGACAGTTTGATTAGAAATGTATCTTTACTTGGAGGTAAAGAGATTATGGGTCTATTAAATAAGTGGTCTAATGTTGAACCATCATTGTCTTAAATAGGAATAAATATACAAAATCAGAAACTTAATGATATTTGTGCTTAAATAAATGTACATTCCATGAAACAGGATGTTGTTCAATGTATGAAATATCTCCTGTTAGCGGCTGAGCAAGCAGACTTTGTACTGTACTGTAACTTGTGCCTACTCTAAATGTGCCAACATCTTCCATATCTGGGAATTTAATTGCCAATGCACCAACCAGAAACAAATTTCATAAGATTTTTGTTGGTCTATTAAAGTCTTGTGTACTGGATTCCATTTGCCTGTTTCATGTTTCCACTGAAACTTTTGTTATTTCTGAGTTGACAGAGCAGTACATGCTTCATGTTGAGGATCTGTGAGGTTGTTTAAGGTTAGCTCGTCTTCTCTCAAAAGAAAGGCTCATACTGCCTCCTATGGTTCCTGTTAGGAATTGCACTGCTGCACATTTAATAGTCAACAATGAGTTGATCTGTTCTGTATGTAAATTCTAGATTTAGAAAATAAAGAAAAATAAGAAGCTAATTTTAATACTGTTATGTTAATGGATTACTTAAGGTGTTTCACATATTTCATAATTCACATTTCATAATGGGCATGTAGTTTACTTTCAGTAAACCTTAGATTTAACATCCAGTCTTCACCCAAATTAGCAAAAATAACAGGAGAAATGTTAACGCCCAAATACATTTCACACAAATACATATCAAGATTAGATTAGAAAATTTAAAGATTAGAAAAGTCCAAGAAATGAAAACAGATTGTCTATTAAAACTTAACTTAAAAATTAATCAACTAACGAGCCCTCAGATTTATCTCACCCTTCGGAGAGGCACCACCTCGGGACTAAACTACATAACTGTAATGTATATAAAGAATTAAAACTAGCTCCATCTCGAGCAGCTACAACACTAAAATGCTACTTAGGTATTGATGCAACAGTCTTCAGAATCTAATAGTGTCACATAATATATCAGGCACAGGTGACATTTTATTGCAGAGTGAGTACTTTAAGGACATTTGTGATTACACTTTTACTTCAGTAAGATCATAAATGGAGAAAATGTACTTGCAATGGAGTATTTGACATTACTGTATTATTACTTTTTTAGTAAATTATCTGAAATCTTCCACCACTGCTCACTATATCTGCTATACAAACGTTATGTAAATGTAACAAATGATCACAACTGGACATTGTCTGCATTAAATACTGTGTCTTTAATATCATAATCTATCATTTGAGTATAGTTACTCCTTACTGACAAATCCCTTCTGGATCAAAGTGCAAAAGAATGCACCCCTTCAGCTGTACTCCACTCTTCAAAATTACAATAGAAAAGTAGAGTGAACATTTCAGATGTTTATTATAATTAAAATGATGATATTTTAGAGTGCATTTACAAAGTATTTAAAGTTAAAGTACAGCAAAAAGTGGAAAAAGGGTTGGGTTTCTTATCAGCTTTTTAAAAGTCAAGTAAAGGAGGAAATATGGCTTAGCAGCTTTGGCTCGCAGCCACTGGAAACACATGCTGTGATGTGCAGTCCTGCAGTGAGGCAGTCAAACCACTGAGTCTGGTCCTGAGAATTTAAAATGCTAAACTCAGACAAAACCTGAAACAACAAAACGGAAAGTTTCAAACAAGCTGAACCCCACAGATGAAAAGCTTTTTGTTGGAGGTCAAGTCTGTTGTTTCTGTGTATTTGCAGGTTACACACCAGTTCACTTTGATGTGAGAAGCTTCTCATGGGCTAAACTGAGAAGAAGAAATATATATCAACTTCAAACTTCCTTACAAGCACTTGCATATACCTTACAGTGTACATATATTAAATTATCTTTAGAGATTCACAGTCACATCATGTGTGTATAAACAATCAATACCTGAGCACCAAAGAGATTGATTAATCAGAAATTTTTTAACTCAATCAATGAATAATTTAAGAAATTCCTAAATCAAAAATGTTCTAAATGCTCAAAACATTCCCCAGTTCCGACTTTGAGGATTTGCTGCTATATGATCGTACATTCAATATCTTTTGATTTGGGATTGTTAATGAAACAAAATGGTCAGTTTGATCACGGAAACTGTGATGGACATTTTTCACTGTTTTCGGGAATTTGAAAGACTAAACGATTAATTGAAAGAAATGATCTCTAGATTAATCAATAATGACAATCTTTAGTTGCAGCCTTATCACAACAATTGCTAACAAACAGCAGTAAGTTGTCCAATAGTTTAAAGACCAATAAATAGTGGAATAGTGGAATAAATTGCTGCTTCTGTGACATCTTGGATGAACATGAACGATGGTCACTTGTTTTCTTGGTCATTTCTTTTCTCTGAGATCCTAAAATGAACACAAAACACATTAAAGATAATAATTATTTGAACCACAATATTCAACTAAGAGAATTCAAGAAATTATGTTTTTTTTACAGTCAGAATTGACCTTAAAAAAATAATTGAATTGAACTCAGTACTCAGTACTGCAACTGATTGCTGCTGTTAAAATAAAAATAATAATGGTTTTACTGTGAAAACAGTCATGACCCATCTAAGGATAGGTGATCACAAAACAGTTAGGCTTTTAATAATAACTGAATTTTAGGTATCTGTCTGTTGTTTGTCTCAATAGTAAAATACAGGCTGGCAGCTGTGTAGTTGGTCATCCTGGGTGAGTAAGCAAAAGCCTTGTAAAGCGCTTTGGATAAAAGTGCTATATAAATGTAGCCATGTCCAGGTCACCTGCTGTGTGTTGCTTCATAATAGCTGTTCTCCTCCAGCAGCTCCTCTATGATCCCCTGAAAAAGAACATTTGTGCAGGAAATCACTTCACTTTCAGCAGAAAGACGTTCTATGTGAGGCGGAAAAGATTTTCAAAAATTAGACACTAGATCCTGCAGGAGAAAAACAAAAGTGACACCTACTCTTAAAGAATGATACACATGCATAGCATTGAAACAACTGTTATACATTGAAGAAAAGATTCATTCTTCCTTGATTACAGGATGATATTTTGACATTTTGCGATATATGCTTACATATGAGTTAGATTGATACCACTCTCATTTCTCTATTCTCTGAATATGATGCTATAGCCAGCAGTCAGGTAGCTTATCTTAGCATAAAGACTGGAAGCAGAGGGAAAGAGCTGGCCTAGCTCTGTCCAAAGAAACCGACCTGCATCTGCTGATAGGTGACTCCATCTTTCAGACTGCTATCACCTATCAGAAGCAGAGAGAAATAAGATGCACATTTTTGGCATCAAAATCTAAATATCCACATGTGAATTTGCAACATTTGATGGTGTGGTCATTACTCTTGATTTTCTTAATGTTCGCTCACCAACCAAAATCAGCCTGATGACAATCTATCAAATCACTAAATGCCAAAAATTCTTACCTGTGCTGTCAGCAGCATGGGGGTCTCCCGTGAAGTGGTGGACCAGAGGCCACCGATCTGAGCTTGCTGAGCCTAACTCCATCAGCTCTGGAGACGCCTGGAGGAGCTACAGGGAAACATTTCTCATTTTGCTCAGGGACTGGACAAACATCACTCCCCCCTGGTGTCACTAATATGTTGTTTGGACCCTCCCATTGACTTAGAAAAAAATTGCAACACTTTCCCCAAATATTTCACAATTAGTTTCAGCATGAGAGAGAAAGAGAAAAAATAAATAAAATGTATGATCATGTTCCCAAGTTTAAGCATTAATTCCTTCTTTATCTAACAATAAACATGGATATGAAATACATCAGATAATGCTGTAGCCTGATATGTGTGACATCAGACTGTCAGACATAAATAAACCAATTATGTGCTAAGTCACAATAAATTTAACAAGAGAAAGGCAAAAATAGTTAGAGTACAATAGAAAAATAAGACCCTCCCCAGTTATGCAACTAAGTAACTTAATTTACATATGGTTTAGAGCTAAAATGAGCTGATTAATCGATTATTTGATTGAGGAAAAGGTTGCTAAAGTAATTTTTCAAGCAAACAACCCTTTGATCCAGCTTCTCTCTTAAGGATTTGTTCTTTTTTTGTCTTACGTGATAATATATCTTTCAGTTTTTGGACAGTAGGTCGGACAAAACAAACATTTGGACTCAGACCTTGCTGAGCTCCACCTTCAGGTTGTATGGATCGCTCCCATAGCGGAACAGAGACTTTTTAAATCTTTCAATGATCCGCCGTTTGATGTTGTGGTGCGGAGTTGGTGGAAGCTGGAGATGAAAGAAAGACAATCTGAGTTAATATCAACATTTAATATTCACAATCAGGTTTTATCACTGCTGTCAGTCACAAATCAGACCTGAGTGAGCTTAATGTGAGGATGAAAATCAGTAGTTTTGCAGGTCACAGGTGACATTGATTGACTCTGTCAAAATTCAATTAAAATCTATGAAACCAGAACCTTTGGATTTGGACTGATGAATTGTATCTACAGTGTTTACCTGAACTTTGAAAAGACCTAACAAAAACTATTGTATGACTGTACCTGAGTGATGTGAATAATTTTGTGCAGCTGCACGAGGAGCCTCTGAATGGGATCATCAATCTGCCGAACCTTCTTCTGGGAGACACAGAGCCCTGCTGACACTGAGGTAAGAGCAAAACCACAACACGTAGGTGACTGAGACTAAATTAACAGGGAAGACAAATTTTATAAGAGACTTTTTATAACTTCCAACTTTTATTACATATGCTCTTTAGGTTGTTTTGTTCATGTAATCGACTCATATTCAGTGATATTAGGTTTAAAAGGTACCTGGTCTTGATTTGCTCTTTGCAGCAGCATAATCCCCACTGAGAAGGAAAATTGAAAAGGCAGGTCAATGAATTGTGTCAGATATGGATAAATTGTTTTTGTCTGGGTATTTGTGCATCAACAAACATTGGCCGCCATTTAGATTTATTTATGTACAGTACATATAACTGCTTTTTACATTACTAAATTATGATACTGTGTCCAGTAGATATACATTTTCCATTAACCTCACAGAAATAGGTAATGTGAGATGTTTCACTTACACAGACAGAGTTTGGTCAGGTGTATCACAGGCACTGGACTTTAATCCTTTGATCAAAACAAAAAAAAACAGCCAAAAGAACAAATCTTGGTTATCAGAGAAAATCCACAACACAGTGAACTAACCAATCTAAAAAACTTGAGCAGGGACAAGTGACAAATAGTAACTTCTAGCTTTAAAAGACTGTCCATGGCTACTGCAAGGCTGTCAGTTCAAATCCCAGATTGCCTCCACTTGTTTACAAAGACTTAGTTATTACAGGAAAACATACTTGTTATGTGAATGTTCCCTAAGTAAAAATAAAATACTAATGCTACCAAACCTCATGGTGATTTTTTCTCACAACTGGCAGAGAACTGACCATAGTGTTGTCCTGTAAAAGCGGTGGTGTCGATTTTGGTATCGCATGGTTCAACATCACCATCTGAGGCATCATATAAAAACACACACATTTTAATTATAATATGTAATCATTTAGCTTTTCAAATCATTCACCCAGCCTTGTTAAATTCTGTGCAGTATGAAACCGTGTCACCTTGACTAACATTCTGCTCGCCGTGGTTTGACCTGCAGGCTGCAGAAGAGTTTGGCGATTCAGTATTCATTAAGGGATTTTCCTGCGAAAAAAGTGCAGCACTTATTTAAAAAACCTGCAGGTCATAAACTAAACACAAACAAAAATAACATTTGCACCAACTATTACAGAATTTCTTAGTAACCTTGTACAACAATAAATGTAATCTGCATACTCCCCAGAGACATCCTTTCCATTTTCAAAATGTACTTTACCTGAGAGAGGTTTGAGAAACAGCAGTTCATCCTACTTTTGTGCCTTTCCAGGAAATACTTCTGTGCTCGTTTCCTCTCTCTCTCTGCTCTCCTTTCTAGTGCATTCTGGGAAGTGTAGAGGCTGTCCATCAGCTTCATCATGAGGTCGGAGATCCTGGAGCTGACGGCCACAATGTCCGGGCGCTGGTCTGCATCTGGACTCAAACACCTGACAGGATGTCCCGTAACAAAATATATCGATGAGTACGTTAGAGGAATGAGTGACATTAATGTTAAATTACTTTTAATCTATAATAATAAAAACACAAAATTAATATTATAAATGTGATCAAATATATATCATAGACAACTATGCAAGCCAAGTTAGTTATTTAAAGTGAATTTTAATTGCCTTAATAGTTATTTTAAACTCTAATAAATTGAATAGGTAAAGCAGAATCACCCTGTGAGTTTAATATAATAACCCTGAGAAGAATAAAAGTCTGTTAATCACCAGTGGATGTAAAAGATTGCCAGTAATGTGAAATGGTAGTGACGCTACAGTCCGAAATACTCTTAAATTTAAGGGTTCAGTAAGACACCCTCTGCAGATGAAACAATACACCAACATCAATAATTGCAAAACAAAGTCTCACCATCTGATCATGTCTGTGACTCTCTCTGAGAAAGCTCCCTCTTCAATCGGCTCATAGACGGCCTCCACGATCTACCAGCACAGAATAAGAAGCAAGGAACAATTACAGTCTACAGAGAAAAAAACATTTTATGTCCAGAGTGTGTGTGTGTTTGTATTTATGTAACCTTGCTGGCCAGCGACAGCATGTTGCTGCTGTTGAACGGAGGCTTTAAACTGGCCATCTGATAAAGGATACAGCCCAAAGCCCAGACGTCAGCTTTCTCTCCATATGGCTCGTTCTTCACCACCTCTGGACTAACACATACACACACACACACACAAATGATTGTACGTGTTAATTTATGAAAAACACTCATACGTTAACAACAACAACGGATTCCCTAGTATCCAACCCTAACCTAAATCCCTAAAAAGAAGCTCACTGACAAAGTGTGGACAGTAAATTTACCACTTTCCAAAAATGTTCTACAACTCAAATCAATTCTCACAAACACAAAAACACACACACGCATCCACACATGTTGTTAAGACCATAAACATGCATGAGCTGCAGTATTTGCTGTTTCTCTAAGATGCTGACAGGCTGTAATAATACGTACATGATAAAATATAACAGCTCTGCGATACTACCTTAAAGGGTTGCTTTACACAAAACACATTTTCTGTGAGAGAGTTTGGGTTTTGAGATATGCTCAGAATGAATTTCCTCACCAGGAGTAAAGGATGGTGCCGACCACTGACGTTAGCTTGCTGTTCTCCTGTTTCTGCTTAGCGAGGCCGAAATCAGCTTCAAGTAGAAGAAAGAAACAGGTTAAACTTTTATCTTTGGATAAAAGACAGGGACAGTGATAAACGCAGATTTGTGGAAAACTGTAAATTGACACACACTGATAGTGACTTTGTCCTTTTCCCCCAGCATGATGTTGTTTGGTGTGAGGTCGCGGTGGACTATTCTCTTTTCCTTGTGCAGGTACCTCAACGCTAGACACATCTGAGGGGACAGGTTCAAGATATATTAATTTGTAATTAAGTGGGACTTTGGAGAGACTCTTCTGACAACGGAACTTATTTACAGTAGTTAAAACTAACTCCACCTCGATCAGCTACAATAAAGTGCTACTTATCAGCATTAGCAATTTAATAATTTTGTATACACAAATAGAAATGTATTAGCCACTGTGGCAATTTGTTTTTTTCATACTTTAAATACAATTAGATGATAATCATTTTTAGCCAATGTAGAAGTACCCCCCTGATTAAGAATCACTGTTCTTCTGTCACTTTACTTACTATAAGGTATCAATAATGTGTCTGTGCAGCTTCCAGTTATTGTCACAACACTGGGGCCTGTTATTTATGGGTATTTAGTGTCTGGGTTTAAATTCAATCTGGATGATATTGGGTTATGGTTACATAGTTGAGATAGAAATAGGCAAGCAACATTGTGTTGTCCCATGAATGTATTAACATTGGGACTACCCAAATGAAATGACCTTTCCCAAGACATGGGAAATTAACATTCATATAATGCCAATACTTACCCAAAGAAGTCCAAGAGTTGTTACCTGTATGAATATATTCCAAATTCTGTCTTCTGTGAACTGCTGCTGCTTCTCCTTCAGAGAGTTAAAATGTTCAGCCAGCGGCACTCCCTCAATCAGCTCCATCACAATGTACAGCTTGTCACCTAGAACAATGTAATTAGGGTTTTTGGCTTTGAATCCTTGTTGTATTCCTTCCTAACAATAGCTGGGGGCTGAAATGGCCAGTAAAAATAATTATCCTCACCTTCCAAAAATGTCTTGTAATATTTAACAATATTCGGGTGTGTCATCTAGAGAACAAAAACCAAGGAACAATAAATATGGCTCAGTTGTTCAGATAGCATGCTTTTAAATTGATTTTCACTGATTAAAATTAAAACTCTGTGCCTGTTCTTTGACGATCGTGAGTTCAGACATGATTTTCTCCACATTACTGTCTCTGGACTTCTTGTCTTTGCCAAACGCCGGGTTATGGAGGTTCACCTCCTTCAAAGCCAGGAGGTTCTGGCCACTCTGCTTTTGGACCTGAATATATATTAATTGGAACCGGTGACATTTTATGTGAAAAACCTGAAGCATGAGGTCACAAAGAAGCAAATACCAACACTTCTGACATCAGATGCTGTCAATTTAGAGGATGTTCCTTGTACCTTAAAGACGCTTCCAAAGGCCCCAGTACCCAGATGGTCCAGTATGGAGTAACCGTTGATGACTTTACGGGGAGGTCGGTTCTGGTCCACAGCCTCGATGCTCTCTCTTAGACTGTCCAGTTCCTCTTCCTGCATTACAAAACACACCACAATCCAGCCATTTGTAAGGATAATAATAGTTCTCGATTTTTATTTTATTTATTAATATTTCTTTTTATTTTACAGCCTAAAGCCAGCTGAGTAGACAGATGAATCCATTAGGATCTGCTTTCTTACAGTGTAGAGTGAAACTCTGGTTTGCAGTCTATCATAGGCAGTGAGATCCCGTACATAATGTCCAACATCAATAAACAACTCAAAGAGGTCTGTGGGAAAGAGTCTGAAATGGATAAAAAAGATTACATAACAGCACTGGAGAACATCTGAAGAGATTTTTCCCAAAACAGAAAGCCAACTGTAGCCAAACTGAACCAATTTATGCATGAAATTAACTTGGTGTCTTCCTTCTTTAAGGTATGAAACATCACCTCTTAAACATATGCCTGTTTCTTTCCACGCTGAAGAGAAACCGGAGGGTCCGAAATGCATAGCACTGCCAATAAACACATTTAAAATAAGTTTAGCTAACTTTCTGGTAGTTAAAGTTCTTCATCATTTACATTATAATGTTATTTCATTTGAGCTGATACTGTATGAAGCCATATACCTGTAAAAATGTGACCTTTGGTCCAGTGTTTTGTGGTAAAATCAACTTTGTGATTATATAGACCCCATTTTCCTAAGAAAAGAATGGTAACATGAGTTGATGCTATGTTGATTTATAGTAATTTGATCTAAATTCCGTTCCTGTCCTGCTTACTGAGTGAAGACTTTTCCTTACCTGCACAATGTGGTGAGCAGATGTGTCATCCAGACTAAGCTCAGTCAGAACCGTACAGCAGGCTGGAAAAGGGATTAAAGGGAATATGACAAAATCTAAGATTTCATATATGCATTCTTATAGTCTAAGACAGTCCAATGCACAGCTGAGAACATTAACAACTCACTCCCCTACTACTTTGTAGTGGTGTCATTAAGAAACATAAAATTTACACACATTTCCTACAAAATCATAGTTACATTCTCAGTCTCAGTGGTCGGATTGTTACTTCAGGAAAAAACAGTTTACATTCTCAGCAACTGATAAGACTGCAAATGACTGATAAGTTGTTTAGTCTCTGACCTGACTGCAAGGCCATAAGTTTGTCCACCTCCTCCTGCAGGCTTAGCTCCTCTCTGATGTGTTCTCTCTGGATGCGTCCGGCTGCATTTGCGCTGGAGAGCGTCTGGATGGACGAGCGGTCAGAGACGTACTGGCTGTTACTGTAAGAGTTATTTTGTATGTCATGATACTAAAATCTGTAAAAATCTGTACATCTTTGTCATTTGTTTTTGCCTGAAAACGAAGCTTTATAACTGAAATGTGTTGTGATGCTGGTTACTCGGTTGTAGTTGCATCTTCCATCATTAGCTCTTAAAATACTGAGAGGTTAAACTGGGGGATCTTTTGTTTGAAAAAGAGGGGGAAAAAGCCATAAAGCTACTTTTGAAAACCAGAAATTGCAACACATAGAAGTCAAATGTAGGATCTATTGTCTTTGGAGCTTGACCTATACTATAAACAAAAAGTCTGCATATCTTGGCCTGTGTCGCTTTGATTTACATCATAATTTTTGGCGCAAGTTTATGGAAATGCAATACTAAATCTCTGGAGTGACCTTTTAAACCACAAATCACTTCAATGTGGATAGAAAAGCACCTGCTGTAGCTTTGACCAGTGCATTTTCAGGGAAAGAAAAGTACAGATGAGTATGGTTAACAAAAGTAAAAGGTTTTGGTTGAAACACACTGTAAGACAGTCACCTGTTGAGTAGCCGGAGAAGCTGCTGTACCCCGCCCCAGCTCCGTATTTCTGTCCTAGTATCAGCATCCTCGCAAAGCTGGACCAGGACCCAGGTGACGCTCCACAGCAGCTTCAGGTGCTGGCCGTACAGCAGGCTCAGCAGCACCGGCAGACCCTCCAGCTCCCTCACCTGGTCCCTCACCTGCCGCACCGGGGACAGGAGTCTCAGCAGCTCCGCACTCATTCTGGAGGAAACATCAAGTTCACTCTAGGTCCATGTTTTAATTGTGTTTGCTGTTAATTTCTTGTTTTAAATCTTATAAATGACTTTGTAGCTGAACTTAAAAAAGTTCTGTGTCGATTAAAATAGTGCCGTGAACAGCAAAAGTAATGTGTGTGTGTACAATCTGATAAGATAGCACGAGATGAGCTAAGATGAGACGGGGTGCAGTAACTTCATTTGTTTGTCTAGTTTTGGGTATTTTATCAGCACTAATGAATTACGGAAGGTTCCCACGGGAGAAGACGCAACATTTTATCTGACCATGACGAATACATTAACAAAGAAGTGATTGCTAACCTCTTTGACAGCAGATCATATTCCTGCAGTATTACAAGTAGGCTCTCCACTATTGGCAGCTTGCCAATCTCCTCCTTGTATTCTGGGCTGCAGAAAGAAATGGCTTGCAGCCGATGAAATAATAAATGTATTTAATGCATTAAATGTTTTAGCTCATTTGCTCACCTCTCAGCCAAAGTAGTGAGTGCTAGCAGGGCTCCCAGCAGCACACTCCTATCTGTTGTGGAGAGGAGCTTCACAAGGGTCTAGAAATGGTTTACATGAGAGACACATGTTTGGCTTCAACATGATTTGATTTGAAAACAAACAGCACATCATCACAGATAACCTTATCACAACTTATCCCTTACCCTGTGAGCACCGCTCTTGATGACCCAGACCCTTTGATGTTCATCGGCAGACAGCTTCTGAAACATATCTGCAGAGCAATCAGCAAAGGCAGCGTTGATGAAGACGTACACAAGACTCATATTATATGTCTAATTTGTCATATTATCCTGTCTTGATATTGCCTTCAGATTACTCACAGGTCATTGTGACCAGCTTCTGCACAGCAAAGACCTGCTCGCCACATGATATGTACATGTCAGTGACACACTCCATATACTAAAAGAGAAATGGAGCAGCGATGAGGATGACAGGAGATATACAAGGGTAAATCACAAAAAACACAGCCTATTAAGGCATGTGAGGAAAATCTTATAGAACATTTACCTTGGCAAGTAAATTGATGCCTTGGAGCTGATGTAGGATTTTCTAAAAGAAAACAATTAAAAGAGGCATTTTACTTTTTTATACAATATTCATACAATACATAATAAACATCACTAATTAACATATTCTTTCAAGTCGCACCTGATGGTGGGGATCTCTGATCAAAATTCGTAGGCAGATGAGAACTCTAAGCACAGATTCAGGCGGTGCATGGTCAATCCATTCACTATAGAAGGAATAAATATTGTCAGTAATGTAAGCCTTGTGTGAGACAAGAAAAGAAATGCTACAGTATTTCAAGGATATTTTACCTGCAGAGTCGGTTTTTTATCAAAGATGCAAGGATGTCAGAGAACAGCGTATGAAGTGGGTGGCTGCTGAAACATCTTTGGTCGCTGTATGTGATGCTGAAAAATGAACGCATCTAAAATTAGGTCCAAAACTGTACAAACTGTATTTGATTCTTAAAAGAAACGAATATAATATAATGAATGATCAGCCAAAAAAACCCACAATTCATCAACTTCTGTAATTCTATCCTCCAAAACTACTGAATGTGACAGAGTCTGCTTAACGGCCCATAATTTATGTCAAACTACTAGTACAATATAATACAGTTTGTATCATGGATGTAGGAGATCAATATTTTCCTCACTCTCACCTGTGTTTTCTACACAACCATATTCTGACTGGGCTGGATATCTGGCCAAAATGTGTCTTTTTTTTTTTTTTCAGTTTTTGTTACTCATTGCGTGTGTCAAAAACTGTCAAGAACAGAAAACAGGCATACAATGTCTGTCCAGATTCGTAATCTTGTTTACTTATTCTCTGATAACATATTTCCTGATTTGAATAAAATTTTTGCCAATTCCAGGCATTTTACTTTACAGATGTACAACATCCTTCTGTTTTCAGTTAGTTTCAGTTTAACATTAGAGACGTTTGCCGTATTTTATTAAATGAAAAAACAATTTAAGATTTATATTTCTCAAAGTAAGATATAGAAAAAAGGGTTCTTTTGAATCTTTATTATATCGGCATAGATACTATAGGAAGCCCATCTGACTATTCATGAGGTAAATATGGGACGTAAAGAGGTAAATACTGGACATGTGGACAAATGGAGCAATTATTCAGTTACATACAAATGGACAAGAGAAATTTGGACACAGACATGTAAAGTGAACTAGTTTGAGATAGGCTTAAATAGAATAGCAGTCTGTTCACTGTGTTTTGCGCTCCTAAGAATGAATTTAAGATGATAAGGATAAAAAAAGATAAAATTTTGATAGAAAACCTGAATTTTTCCAGTTCAGAGGCTTCACCGGTGATGTCGCTGTCACTCCTGGGTCTGTTGATGTCCTTTGGGGGTTGCAGGCCTTGTGATCTGCTGGCTCCATGGCTACGTGCTTTACTGTGACTCAACGCTGCCACCTGCAACACAGGGAGTCTCATAGCACAACATATATACAAAACTGAAGAAGTATGAGTTGGTTTGTATCATTATCAAAATGTCTAGACACTTTGCCTAAGTGTGGCGTCATTTGTTGTTTTTCACCTCTTGTCTGGGGCTGCTTTTGGCAAGCAGGGACTGAAGTCTCCTAAGATCATGAGATGCCCTAGAAAACAGGCTTATCAGTTGATTTGCTGTTGTTGTTGTTTTTTTCATATCAGTAAAATTCATTTTAAATTATGTAACAGACTATTAAATAACTGTGAGGAGGTAATGACCCAGCTTACTTGCTCTGGATTCCTCTGGATTTCAAGGACAATATTTCTCCTTGTCTCACTTTTTTAACTGGATTGGACATTTTCAGTGTTCCCCTTTGTTTCCATGAGGTAAGCTGCGGTTCAACTTTAGACATTTTTGGCACATAGTGAAATTTAGCTTTCTTTTATATAATATATATTGTATATTTAAAAATACTACAGGAAACAGTGCTAACTTCTGTGATAAGATGGTTAGCTAAACTACTCATTTGGCTAAAGCCATAGGTGAACTGTCAGTTTAAAATAGACAAGTCAAAGGTCTCTTACCCTTCCACCATCATCGCAAACTCGCAGGAGACAGTTAATTTGAACTAATAAATACGAATTTAACTTCATTAAATGTCCTTAGTCGGAGATATAGGCGAAATAGTTTTTATTCTTGAAACAGCAGACGCCACTACATTAACAAATAAGAAACAACAATGCTCAGTTTAACGGCATTTTCAACCAATCAGAGTGAGCAGTGTTAGAGCGTTGTGGTTGCCATGGATACAACAGACGCTTTTAGTATTCCGTTTTTTTCTCGCCCTTTTCTGTCTTTATTGACAAATAATTAGTCAAATAACAGGTATCTTTTGTAATGTTACACGAATTAAATTAATTCTAAGCAGCAAGCAACTTAACCAAAAACTAAAACTAAAATAAATAAATTTAACAAACATGAATATATAAAAAATAATAATATATTAATAATAATATTAAGGGATTTTAATCAAAATACAATGTAAGTAACTGAGAAAGTCTTGAGGCACTAAGGCTTTTTCAATGAATGAAAAAAAATTCTTCAAGTCATTAGTAAATGCTAGAAAACTTTTGGCAACTTTAAAAAAAATCTAGACTTATAGGCTATAATAAAATATTATTACAGATGAACTCAATGTCTTTATTTTCCATAAAACAACCAAACATAACATCATGGTAATCAAAACCAGGCATTACATTCTTTGCACCTAACCAATCATATATTCTATCCCAAAACAATATTACAGCGATAGAAAAGATGTACATATATTGAAATATTAATTAGCTAAATCTTACTCATAAAAATTCATTGCATGGAAAAATATCATTAATTGTTTTGAAATGAATCTCTTTCATTTGAGGAAACAACCTAAATGATAGAAATCACGTTTGAACTTTGAAGGTGTCCACTCTTGAAAATCTTTGAGACAAAATGTTTATTTTCAAAGGAAGTCATTTGTCATTAATGACCTCAAAATTTAGTTGTCACATCTGAGAAATTGTACTATCAACAAAGAGATTAGCAGTTACAGTAGAATATTGAAACAGTCGTTTATTTCAGATTTGTCAAAGCCTCAGGAATAGCATTGACTAGGCTGCTACTTGTAGTTGAGTAATACACCCACAAACACAACCTAACACATACATATGATTAATTAACTGCCACTAATAATGAAAAAATGGCAACACATCAGCAACTTACTTCAACTAATGTCACTTCTCAAATCCCCTTCCCTGATAAACTATAAGAAAAGCCACAGATTTATAGATGTGTATTTGATGAGCTTCCTTGACACTATATTGGTTACTTTATCCTCTATTGTCCATTGTTATTGTATAATGAATTTGTATACTGCATTTGTTTACTTCTCTATAACGTTATGTCTTTATCACTTTTTCTACATTTGTTTGCTATCTGATAATGATAAGGAAAAAGTTTATGTATGTTTGTTCATAGAGGTATTTTTGTGTATGGATATTTTATGTGGTATGTATGGGCTCTCTGACATTGTATTGGTTATCTGTATGTATCTGATTATTATTGTAATTTATGATAAATAAAATTGGGGGGGGGGGGGGCGTATTCAACTAACGCTACGTGACCAAATCAGGCCCCTTCCGTATTTAAACAGTAAGACAATGGAGACACGGTGAGAGATGTAATTAGTTTAGCATGTTCAAAAAGAAAAAAAAATCCACATACAAAAAGTGTTCCTCTTGAAAATCAAACTGGTTGTTATCGCGAGTACACACAAAGAGTCAAAGGAATCACAAGTTATCGCGAGACTGGAGCGTGCCTCCCTTTGAGATTCACGTAGAATGTACGTCAGTCTTTCTGCGTAGATTCGTTGAGCGCGGCAAGCGTTGCGTGCCTCATAGTGCGTAGCTCCAGCAAAAAGTAGCGAGAAGGGGGAATGTCGGCTTGTGAATGATCGGTTTTGAGGCGGCAGGGAGCGTCAACGTTATGGGTGAGACTGCTGTAGTCAGATCCTGTCACGAATTATTCAGAAACCTGTGTTGTAAACTCCGACCTTGATTATTGTGTTGAACTCGATTCGATATTTGAATAATTCGGCTTTGCTGCTTTTTGGCTTCTGTAGTTGTCTGAGCAACCAACGCCCAGTCGTTCGACTCCAGTTGGATGGGTTGCTACTAGCTAGCAAGCTAATTGTTAGCCTGAGCTTCGCTAGCACCCTGCAAAACCTAACGGGAGTGTCATTTCCTGTCTTTTGGCTCTTTAGCAAAGTACTTCAGTAAACGTTTCTGTGTGTGTTATGAGAGCTAACATAATAAACCACGTCCACGCTCCTGTTAGGGTGACATTCACTTGTTTTATAGCTTGTATACAAATACTAGTAATTTGACTAACTAGGTAACGTATGTTGGATTAAACAGCTCACGTTAATGCTAACTTCTTTGAACCTATGGGGAAACAGCATGGAACGGATGAGAGCTGTACTGGATTTGTACTCGGCTCTTAGACCTTTTGTTAAATGACGTTTAAAAGTGTCACATTATGCGGAATACAGTCACTGTAGCTAGCTTTACATTTGTCCTTTAAAAATATTTTTAACTCGGAGGACAATGACGGGGAGATGGGGGCTGCATTAGCGTGTGATCAATAATTTGATTAAACTGCCATATTTGGAGCATCTAGGTTAGACAGTCAAAGCCAAACCAGGAAGATGGAGAACGGTTAGGTATAAAAAGGCGACGCCAGCCATCTAATCTGGATTACAGAAGATCTAGTACCTCAGAGTTCATGTTTGACTTCAATGTTCATTAGCTTCAGACTGTGACATATTAGTCACAATACTGAACCTGGTGTTTCTTTCAAACTGAAACGACAAACTGTGAGTTGAGGAGAGCCTCTTAAAATCTGCACAAGCAAACTGTAGCTTAGTCCTCCACCTGCCACCACTTCCTTTTAACAGAACACACAAAGCCGGAAAGGAAACTGACAGCTGTCATTTTAAAATTATGCTTCTCGCATTTTCTTCTCAGGTTTTTCAGATTTGAAAATTCAGCTCTCATAAAAGATGACTGGTGAGGGTTTGCTAGGTGACCTGTCTGCAAAATCCCAATATGATTGACAAACTGAAGCAGTAGGATGCTGCTGAGATTAAACTGTACATCCTGTAGGCAAATCAGCATATTAAATCATAGTGTCACATAGAAGACATGTGGGCTGTTGATAGTAGGCGGGAGGTGCTTCGTAAGATGCAGAAATCCTCTTCTAGTACCCACAGGCGAAAAGAAAAAGCTGCATCAGTGAATGGACCCTGCTTTATGGTACTACTGACATTAAAAGAGCAAGTGGAGTGGAATATGTACCACGCTGGCCAAATGTCTGTGTTGTTACAGTAACCCAGATCATGAATCATTTTGCCCCAGGCTTCTCAGCTTGTGAAGCTGAATCTGAAGACAGAATGGTTTGTTTGTCAGATGGCCTGAGATTGATTCTCTGTTGCTTTTTTTTTGTTTTTGTGCTCTCTCCCTTTGCTTTCTGACCCTGGAAATGCTGGCTTTTCCTGCACATTTGGACTGCATTATACTGATCTACACAAAACAGCTGTGAGTATAGAAATGATCTCTATGCTTTAAGTAACTGGACAGTATTGTTTTCGACAATTATGTAAGGACATGCAGCTCTGCAGGACATAATTTTGAGTTTTACTTAAGATCTCAAAAACCTCCAGTTAACCATCTGTGCCCTAAAACCTATGACATGATGCAGAACAAGCATCTAGAATATTTCCATTTGATTTAATGATGGCATCTTGGATTTGGATATTTCACTGAATGTAAGTCTGATTTAGTTTTGTAAAGTAAGTAAGTGAAACTGTTAAAATGTTTTGTCTGACTTTGAATGCATATAAGGGAACATTGGGGTTCAGGTAATTAGACGATTGGGAGTGTATATCAGGTTTAGCAGTGTGGGAATAGCACAAATTTATAATAAAATTTTAATTTTAAGCTTTGCGGGCTTGAAAGATTCCTAAATGGTTTTGATGTGTGTCTTTTTTTTACTGTCTTACAGCAGCAAAAGAATCTGGAAGGATATGTTGGCTTTGCAAGCCTCCCCAACCAAGTGTACAGGAAGTCTGTCAAGAGGGGCTTTGAGTTCACCCTGATGGTCGTTGGTAAGAACACACGCTGCTTAGGCCTCTGTTTGCCCTTGTTTCATATGAATCATTTCATTGTATTTATTGTGGTTGGCATTTAAAGTCCTTCACTGTGGTTTTTGAGAGCGAGAGAGAGAGATTGTGTGTGTGCAGCCATATTGAAACACAAGGGACATGCTCTCAGTTTTGTAGTGTTAATTCCTCAGTCAGAGAAGAGGGGGGCCATTGCATTTCTCTTAGTGGAAGTTATCTTGATGTCAGGTCATTGACACTGTCTCCCAGAACAGAAACATTTGGGATGGGTTTATCTAGGGCTGCACTCAGCGAATCAAAAATGCAGACATCCTTTTAAAAGGCTTTGGTGTGGTGGTTGTCACTGGGCCAAGATCCTCCTCGGCCGATCAGTCCCTGTTTGGAGGGAAAATGTTTCCTCGGGTCAAAACCATTTCCTGTGATGGGACCGGCAGAATTTGTACCCAGCAAGACTCTAAGAATAGCGCATACCCCATTGCTTCCACAACGCTTTGTTTCTACAGGATTTTGCTTACTGTACTGCTGATACATTTGCAGTGTTTTCATTGCAGTTATTAGATACTTACTTTAGAACATCCTCATAAAAGGTATTTAGATTTTTCTTGTTCCTGTTCTCTGCAGTGATCCTCTGGAAACTGTGAATGCTTTGATGTCTTTGCAACAAATAGCTTCATTTTGGGAATAATTTCAGAAACAATACAACTGGCATTGCATCTAGCAACAAGGAAAGTAGAGGAGGTCCTCTGGGCTTGTTGATAGTTAAATGCTTGCCATTGTTCTTATGGTATCACCCTCTTGCATGGACACACATACACACATTTTCTTGGCTCTGATGAGCTGCGAGCCCACATGTCCCCGCCGTGCAACGCAATGCGTCACCAGTGTGGTGTGAAAGAGGGAAGCGGGATGAAAGATGGAGGAAGGGAAGGAGAGAGATGGGACTGGTATCACCAGCAGTGACTGGCACGTCTGCCCATGCCTCATGAAACACATGACCCAGCAACCTGTTCAGTTCACACATTGCAAAGCAGCACATTTCATAGGCCTGTCATCACTTGAGATTGCAGTAAATTTAACAAGCACATACCCAAACCATTCCATGCATAAAATGTACGACAAAAAAATGGAACACAAGCTCCACGCGCTTTTGACTGTGTCGCTGGTGTAAATGGTGGCTTGTTAAATATTGACTTGTGGCCAACCGCCAATGCAGGCAATGTCATTGGTCATTTCAACTAATGATCCTTTTCATTGGGCGCTTGGAAACCGGGCACACAATGGTCAACCAAGCTTGAGAAGCCACCCAGACCACACAGCCAGTCAGCTGCACATAACAAGAGCCATTGTCTGTTGTTTCCTTAGCCTTTTAACTGTCGACCCAAATGGATTAATGTCTTAGGCAAATGTCAGTTGCGTCCTTGGATAGACACATGGCCTTTAATTGTCTTTAGGATATCAACCGTGATCTTTATGTGGATATATTGCAAGGGGATTGGATTTTGTACTATACATTTTAAATATTTTATTCCAAGTAATTCAATGCTTTACATTCTTGAACTATAACATGAAGAGTACAGGTCACACTGTTCCTGAAGTACTGATTTGTCTTCTGCTTTTGCTTTTTTCCAGGTGAGTCAGGGTTGGGCAAATCCACGTTGATCAACTCTCTGTTCCTAACAGACCTTTATTCAGCAGAGTATCCAGGACCTTCCCATCGAATCAAGAAGACTGTACAGGTACATTTTGGCAAATAAATATTATCTTTGAGCTGAGATGTAGCATACCGTATTAAAACCCCAAGCAGATACAGAGGTGAAATAGCCACAGTTTTTTTTATCTACAGCACTACAGCAAATGGCACTGTTAAAATTAACAACAGTGATCTGCTGTTACATTTCAGCTGTGGCTAGTATGAATCTCTAAACCACCAACAGCTTTGACAGCTATCTAAGCCATCATTTTGATGTTTTATTTGAAAATGTGGCCAGATAACCAACACATAGATGTGTTGTGAATCATAGCACTTCTGTTTTCATGACAAAATGCCTACATAGTTTTCAATGTCTTCTTAACTCTGTAGCTCCCAAGTCACTGCCTTAGAATCTCTTAAGATGAACACAGTTAACTTAAGTTTCTTGGCTTGCTGTTTAACAGTTACAGCAGCAACAGGGCCATTAACAAAAAAAACATTATTATGAAAACTAGGTATAACAAATGTTCAGCAACCTAAATTAATCTGCCAAAAAATGCACTTTCAGGGTTTGGTCTAATAAATCAAAAGACCTTATAAGTTTTACCGAACAATTGCGTTGACATGTCAGCAGTGTGGAAGCAAAAATCACCGTTTGCAGACACTGTTCTGCTGAATTGTATCCTAGCACATCAACTTAACCTGTGGTTGACATCTTAGAAAAGGCAAAAAAAACGGTCTGAACCACTCTGAGGGCTTATGTCACTCGTCTGTGAGAAGCCGATTAAGCTAGCCGCACCTAAATTTGGAGTGCACACGTATTCAAACCTTTCTGGTAAATCCACTGAAACCACTGGTCCAGTGTGAGCTGACAGGCAGGTTAGCGACTTTATCCTGTAAGTTTTTCTCTTTACGAAGACAAGTGTTGCAGTATGAGAGTCCTACCTGAAGAGAGGCTGTGAAGTCTTCATGTTACGCGACATGAGAACCACCAAGTAAATTGACACATGTAATTTACTTTACCGGATCCTCTCGGACCTCGGACCCACCCACCAAAGTCCTGTGGGAAACACTGAGTAAAAAGGACATTTTGACTATTTAATTTATGCAATGGTAAAAAAAAAATTGCAAAAAACTCGGAAAAACTGTGTTCGGTATTCAGGAAAGTTTTTCATTATTTTCATTTCGGTGCGTCCTAATGAAAACCTACATGAATGCACTGAAAATGTGCCTCTTCTCTTTTGCACAAAACACTGTGTTACAGTGGCAAATAACCTCATCTGTTAAAAACAAAGAATTATCTACGTATTTCCCACCGTAAGTCATGCGAACTGATCAACAAAGAACATGGAACTAGTTAACCCTTAGGTTTAACATTAGCAAACATCAATCTGAATATTGTAAAGATAAGAAAAGTGTGTTACTTTTAGATTTATTTTCATTTGGCTTTTTAGAATTAGATACAGCTGACATGATTTGGAAAAAAATATTTTTACCACACTGTGATGATGTTTGACTCATTAAAGACATGCAGTAAAACTGTCTCATGTTGATTTAAACAAATCAAACTCAGCTGCTGCCATAAATGCCACATTCTTTAATTAGACAACGTTGTCCTGAACCTTGAGTGCCTCAAGTGCTGCATTTTATCTTTCTGGTTTCTGACTGACAGTATCGCTATCTGCTATATGCTTCTCAGGTTTCTCAGCATAGTTAACTAATAGCACAGTGTGAGATGGCGTGTTGTTACATGCTGCTAGCTTGAAGTGTTTTCTATTTGAAATGTATGATTTCACACCCATCCTCCCATATTGTGTTTTCATTTATTTTTATTAAATGTTTTGGTTTCAAAGTCCCAGTTTGTGGCAGAAATAAACACAATGTGCCCTTCATTCTTTCTCCTGTGTCAGGTGGAGCAGTCCAAAGTTTTAATAAAGGAAGGCGGTGTCCAACTGCTCCTCACAATAGTTGACACCCCAGGGTTCGGAGATGCTGTTGACAACAGCAACTGGTAAGTATTGCCACAGCTTCAGCTCAGCACAGATACTATTCCTTCATTTATAATAAATATAATGTCAAAAATACCCTGCAACATTACTAATTCAGCGGATACTTGTGGGACTTTGTGGGAAATGGTTTCTTTACGGAATATGTAATTTGTATTATGCAGCTGGCAGCCAATCATCGACCACATAGACAGCAAGTTTGAAGACTACCTGAACTCAGAATCCCGAGTGAATAGACGACAAATGCCCGATAGCCGAATCCACTGCTGCCTGTACTTCATCGCCCCCTCGGGACACGGGTGAGTCTGGGAGACAAGTTCATTTTGTGAGTGCTTTTATTCAGAGCACCCTATAACAACCATGTTGTTAGAATGGGCAGATCCAATGAGGATCAAGCTCTTGAATTGACACTAGAAAGGAAGAAAAGAATGAATAGGGCTGGATAAAGGAAAAGGTTGGAATAGGAGGGGGGGAACAGTGAGAGGAAGAGAGTGAAAGGGACATGAGAGGTCAAGAGTGCCCGGACGGTCAGAGGAGCTAGTTTGTGACAGGAAGTGAAGGTTGCGGGTTCAGATCCCTGTGCAGTATGGAAAATCCAGGAAAAGGTTGCCGATAAAGCACCTATTCTTTTGCATTTTCAGAATCAGAAGGAACTTTATTGCCAAGTAGTGTTTTACACACACGAGGAATTTGCTTTGGTGATAAGGTGCCACATGTAAACAAACATACAGTTGACATAAATAAATGTAGAAATATATAAATATGGAATAGACAATGCAAGTTATAAAAGAATATTAAAAAGAATAGAGAAAAATAACGCTTTGCAGAGAAAGAACAACGTTGCTAATATTTACATGTACATTATTCTGGGTTTGTGTTGTGTAGACGTATTGCAACGGAAGAGAATATTGTGTACATAAATATATAAATTGACAATATAAAAATATACAAGAATAAATTAACAATTCAGCAAGGTGCTAAACTGCCCACTGCTTCTGGAGCAGCTAAGTGGCACGCAGCATGAAGCTGTGGTCCTGCCGGGCAGCTCGTGAGTGTGTGCAGTAAATATGTGTGTTGTCTTACTCTAGCTCCTACAACTACTCCTGCAGGCCATTGCTGTAAATTATCATGTGACTCAGCTTGTCTTGCAAAATAAGGGTTAAAACTTGGAGCTTGTAAAAAGGGAGGGTGGGGGCAGAAGCAGTACAGGAAGAATCTGGCAAAATGCCCAGCAGATGATACAGATTGTTAAATATTTCATAGAGATGACCGTGTGGACAATTAATAGTATTAATAATATTATTCACAGTCAACCAGAACCTCTATAGTTAGTTCACTGATCAGATGTGCTCAGCTTGTGCTTATTTTAAGATGTGTACGTGTCTTGTGTGATGCACAATTCAGTCAAAGAGCAGAAAGTGTGGGAGTAGTGAAATTGAAAAACTTGTTGTTTCCAGAGTAAAAAAAGCTGATAACTCATTTAAATACTTTTATGGGTTTAAAAATTATGCTAATATGAAAGCGTAGCCCAGAGCTCTTGAAGAAGTCCAAAAGGAGCTTATGGTGTTTGCCATTTTAGGGCAGGATGTTTTTTGTGTTTGTGTCGAGATACTGAATTTGTGTACATACATATCTTCATTGTGCACTCACATGCTTTTAAAGCTGTTGACTGTAAGTTAGTCTAAACAAGGAAGAAGCCTCTGTCCTCCCTTGTCCTTGTGTTTTTGTCTGTCCTCTGTGAGACATTGTGTTTGTACAAGCGTGTGTTCTGTACTCACACTAGCCTTGAGGATGGGCAGCATATGTACACGCACAGAGCATCCCCTCATAACACCAGCTGACTGCTCTCACGCAGCAGCACAATGACCTCCAACAATGAGAGACAGTCTGGACATCGAGCTCCCAGCTGATCTCTGGTGACTGGTTTTCTTAAAGATTTGAGGACGGTCATTAATCATTAAACAGGGCCTTCCCTAAAACTGTGGTGGAACCCAATTATTAGAGATGTTTTCTGACATTGTGAACATCAGTACGTACAGCTGAAATGATTTATCGATCGACAGAATTAATAATCTGAAGCTGTTTTGGCTGTTCAGTCAAAAATAATAATTGTTGAGAAAAATTGCAGTTTCTCAAGTTCCAACTTCTGAAATTTGAGGAGGATTTGCCTCTTCTCTTTGTCATATATCATATTAAACAGCCAGACAAAACAAGACATTAAGAGACCTTTGGCTTTGTAAAGTTGTGAGAGATATAAATTTATAATATATAGACCAAACGACTAATTTAACACATTGGCTGATCAAGGGATAATGAAAATAATTAAGTATTGCCCTATTGGTAAGTAAGTTATTTTTGGTGTAACAGTACTGTTTCAATACACATTTTGACATCTAATTTAGTTGTTATATTCTTTTTATGTCAGGTAGCTGTTTGCAGACACTGTTCTGCTGAATTTTCTCATAGCACATCCACTCCATCTGTGGCTGACTTCTTAGAAAAGGCAAAAAAATGGTCTGAACAGCTTTGCGTGTTTGTTACTCGGTTGTGAGAAGCCGATTAAGCTAGCTGCAACTAAATTTGGAGTGCACACATATTCAAGCTTTTATGGTAAATCCACTTAAAAACGGACCAGTGCGAGCTGACAGGCAGAGTAGCGACTTTATCTTTTCATTTTCTCTTTTTACAAAGACGAGTGTTGCAGTATGAGAATCCTACCCGAAGAGAGGCTGTGAAGTCTTTGTTACGCGATATGAGAACCGGCTTTGGCTTGGGTCGGACAAGAATTTTCATTTCGGTACATCCCTATATATTGTGCTTGTTTGGGGTTTATATTGGTCCCTGTTCTGTAAAAAGATAGGTCTAGGACATGTTTAGCCTGACAGATGCTGAGTCACACGTGAGATTGATGTTTTGGGAACAGCACATTCTCCTTGTCAGTTTGTGTAGGGTCAAAGCAGTGAAAACTGTAGACCTTCATGGCTGGTTTTATTTTAGTTTACATCATTTAATGTGTTATATTGAAATACTAGATATTGCTGATACAATACAGCTATGAAATATTGATATCAGCTAACATTTAGCAATGAACTGAACTATCTGTCTACTCATTTCTGTTAGTGATGTGGTGTTTGTTGAACAAAGGGCATGCGGCTGTATATGTGACTGCTCCATGGACCAGCTGTCATTATAGGTTTATTATAAAAGTTTATCATGCCCACTGTATTTGCAGCACCATCTATTATGTCACCTGTCAATCATGTTCGTAGGATCTTCAGTACATTTAATCTGACAAATGGAGAACCAGTATTTCAGATAAAAACACTTGTTATCAGCTGTTGCATTCAGTTTGTTAGTATGTCAATGTAGAACTGTGTTGTATATTGACCTGCATGGCCGTTAGCAACGTGGCAACATGCATCCCACCCTTCATACTGGCAGCATCATATTCTGCTTCAGGGCAGAGTTTGACTTAGAGGGATATTTCCACTGTGCCTTCAAATAATCCAAGATTAAATTACATTTTATAACAAAATATAAAATTAAACGCAAAGTTTTAGCTCAATAATTCACTAATGTCAAATGTTATTTATTGAGCTCAATAACAGCCAAGAATAGCAACACTTTGTCACGACTACAAGGTAATTTCTGTGGACATTATAAACATCAGTCAGGCATCACAGATACTTTTCTATATTTGGTTTAGCTCTATTTCTCCTTGGGTTGTCTAAGGAAAAGCCAACCAAGAAACTGTGATCAAATGGAAATCCAAAAGCCAGTCGGCCCTAAAATATCCCATTTACTGCCATAATGACAAAGGAGTCAGTATAGCAGAGGAGTAAATTTGTTCTTAAATGTATTAGACTGGCTGGAAAATCAATACTACATACTCTGTACAAGGTACAGAGTGATTCAAAATGATTTGACACTGTTTGCAGTATCCAGCTGAACTACATGTAAAGCTATATCTTTATCTCCATGCAGACTAAAGCCCTTGGACATTGAGTTCATGAAACGGTTGCACGAGAAAGTCAATGTCATCCCACTGATCGCCAAAGCAGACACCCTCACCCCAGAGGAATGCCAACAGTTCAAGAAACAGGTCAGTGGTTTCCACAGCTGCATACTACTGCAGAAAACGTATCCAAGAGCTTCTACTGTGGTCATGTTGGAGAAAATGTGCATCATGAAGCAAACCCAAATAAAGCAAACCCTCTTAGATGTTTGTACAACGATCCCTTGCACTGTGTGAACGTTGTCTGTGAATTATTCATGCGTATAAGTACAAAAGGAAATATTAATAGCTTCTCTAAGTAGGAGCATTGCAAACAGTTCCATTTTGCAATGTGCTTTTGTGTGATATGCTTTATTACACGCATTGTTGGTACACATCAGCGTCTGTTAACTTCTTCTTTTAAATTAGGAACATATCAGGTTACATTAGAACCTTCCGTTTTAACCATGTTGTCCACAACAAAAAGGCATCTTCAGCATCAAGTTAGGCTATAACTGACTGTGCCAATAAGCCCGTTTACTCTATAAAGTAACTATATTAACACTAGATGAGATGAGCAGAATGAAACTGATTTGTAAGTTAATATAGCTCTTGAAACCACAACAATGGGTTGCATCTAGTGTCACATAATAACATTTCTCAATATCAGATTGCGACACACGTTACCACAAACAAATTAGCAATTTTGAGTGTCATTCATTTAGCTGATGCTTTTATCCAAAACGACTTAAAATGCTTTATATGTCAGAGGCGTGCTCAGGGACACATTGGTGGATTCATATTACAATGTATCAACTAAAACTGTATGTTTGTACTGTAGCCTTTACAAGGGTTTTAGTAGATATTATGAAAGAACATTAGACTACAGGTGGTACCTGTTTTGATTAGCCATTTCCAATTAGCTCTGCCAGAAGTTTCTAAAAGATCTTCTCTTTTTCTGCCAGATCATGCGGGAAATCCAAGAGCACAAAATCAAGATCTACGAGTTTCCTGAGACGGATGACGAAGAAGAGAACAGGCTGGTCAAAAAAATAAAGGTACTGTATGTCAACAGACATTTCATATCACAAAAGTGTACTAGTTTGTTACAAACCCACACTCATGTACTTGTATTAATAATGCTAAATATTATTCTTTTGCCAGGAGAAGTTGCCACTTGCTGTAGTAGGAAGCAACACCATCATTGAGGTGAACAGCAAGAGGGTCAGAGGGAGACAATACCCCTGGGGTGTTGCAGAAGGTATCAATGTCAACTTATTTTGCCACAGTGAGAAATGCCTACTGCTGAAATTCAGTTAAAGGAATAGAAAGAAGTGATGCAAATGAATGTGAGCAATCAATAAAAAAGTAAGACTTAAAAATATACCAATATAAAACTGTAAGAATATTGTGTCTGTATCCAACATGTTAGAAAAGTTCTTGTGTAACTTTTCAAAGCGTCATGACAGGACAGCATTCCTGAAAACAGGAGTTGAACCGTACTTATGTTCCTATGTTTCCCTGCATTGTTCAGTGCATCAGACACAAGATGTAACAAGGTTATTTTTTTCCTCCTCCTGATAATTGGCTGACTGACTTCTTGTTTTCCATTCTAGTTGAAAACAGTGACCACTGCGACTTTACCATCCTCAGGGATATGCTGATCAGGTACTTAAAAAAAATCTGTATCATTTACCATTAATAAACACTTCAATCAACCAGGCAGTTTAATAAACAAAGACTCTATAAAGATGGGTTAATTTATCTTTTTTGTATAAAAGGATAAATGAAAATCAGTTGTTTGATTGTGTTGGATCTGAAAGAGCAGTTGAAACATTACTCAGAGGGCATTTAAAATACTTTGAATTCTTTGTCGTCCAACCCTAGAACTCACATGCAGGACCTGAAGGATGTGACAAACAACGTCCACTATGAAAACTACCGCAGCAGGAAGCTGGCTGCTGTCACCTACAATGGTGTGGACAACAACAGGGTGAAAGGTCAACTGTCCACCAAGTAAGTCTGGAAAAAAGTACACTGAGAAATCAGTTGTAGTTGAGGCAGACATGAGAAGTTTAGCCTTATTTTTAGCTGCAACTTAGATTGTGTAGAATAGAACAGGACCTCTGAATTGTCCTTGGTTTATTAAGCTACTTTACAAGCCTTTTAAGGTTTGGGAGATTACTGTATCACCAATCAAATGCTGCAGATATTTGCTTCTCTCCTCAACCAGGACAGAACCAGTGATTACCTGAAGGCTATTTAGGATGTCATTTCAGTGTTCTGAATGGAAGTTATTCATACAGATACAGATCTTTCACAGTGTGTTGGGATTGGCCCTCCATTTCTTATTGTATATTGGATAGAGTAAGTTTTGTGGGCTTTTAAGGGGTGTAATTTTTCACACATGGATGTGCTAAACTAAGTGGGACACATTTGTTAAACAGGGTACATGCAGGTCTTGAAAAATCTGAAAAGGCATTGAATTCAGTTTCTTCCAAAAACAACCACAGAAGGTATTAAAAAGTCTGATGAAAAATAGTGAAAAAGTGTTTTAGGACCCGATGATGGGCAGAATTGTTATACACTTCTAAACTAAAAGTGGTATTGTTTTCAGCAGCCGGGTGTGATGTTCCGACAAAAAACTGAAATTAACATGAAAGAATGAATCATTTTAAATGAGGTAATCCATCCATCCAGTTTATGCTGCTCACATTAACTTAATTATTTACATCATTGGGAATTAGTGTTATATACTGCTTTATAATACTGAAAATTGGTTTTCCATCATACTTTCATACGTGTGGTATAAACAAGGTCTTAAACCTTGAATATAATTGGCCTGTTGCCAGTGATTTGCAGGCTGAGTTGTCACATTGACTTCTGTCCTCATTTCTTTAAGTATTTAGGCTCCATGTAACTGGAAAAGTCTAAGTTGGGGGACTTCATTCATTGCCCATTTCTTCTCTGTTTGTGATGTTTGACAAACGCTCAGTGATTTTTGCTTTTGTCATAGCCTCTCACTGTACTACTTTGCATAAAACATGCCATTGATTTTCATTCAAAGCACCATGCTGCTTTCTCATACATGTAGACACAAGCAAATGGCTAACCCACACACTAAAATTCTAGCCCTACAGCTAAATGGAGGCCTCACACTGCTGATGCTAACACACAGCTAAATGTTTGCCCAACTCAGCTAATGTATTTGACACCCAGCTCACAAAGCTGACATATATTTTTCAAGCTTTCTGTTTTCCATTTGCTGTAAAGAAGTCACAGAACATGTCTAAAAGACCGTAGTTTTATTTTAGTGCATGACCTCATTATCGCATGTTGTGTTTCTGTGCGTGCGTGTGTGTGTTTGGTTGTATGTGTTTTTGTTTTTTTTTTAGACAAGACACAGTTGAAGGAATGTAAGTGGTCATTTTTTCTTATTTTTGAGGCCCTTGTATATGATGTTCATTTTTCTGTACCCTTTTTTTTTTCTCCCCCGTTGGCTGCAATTGGGTGTTTTCTTTTCCTTCCTGACTTCCCCCTGTCAGTAGATATTTCCAGGAGGAAAAACTGTGAATTGCCACACTTGTGAATATAGTTTGACAGCTACCAATGTGATGCATTCATTTTTTCCCCCAACAAAGCCTTTCAGTCTTTCCACCGGTGTATTCATTGCTGCTTCCACCTGCTGCTGATGTTAGTCCTGCTTGGAGTAATAACAGAGACCTGTACATGAAACATATGGAGTGGTTAATAATGATTATGAGGTGCACCACATTAGCATAATTCCTTTATGTTTAAATTACTTAAAGCTACAACTTAGATCATAGTAAGTCTTTTGTATCATTTATTTACTTATTTAAGAGTTTAACACGTTAAGTCCCCCTAAAAGAGGGGTGAAGCGGGCACCATTCATCCACAAGTTTAGCTTTACAGAGTTTTGTTTTCTTTCTACGGTTGTTATTGTATACATTCCTAGCTACTAACCTTGCCTTAGTAATCACAAAATGATGTTGTCAACCTAAATATTGAAAATTATTACAAAGCCTGACTGTAAGACTTTTTTAGTTTGTTGCTTGGCTTTAAGGTTTTATCGTTTTCTCCTTTGTGTCCTTGAACCCTCTTTTTCCGAATGTACATTCCTCGTAATCACAAATAGTCTCTCCACATATGTCATGACAGGTCTCTGTACACTTGCACTGCAACAACATATCCTGGTGAGCTCCACTAACATTTAACCCACCACCAGCACTAACAGTTAGTGTTCACAGGTTCCTTGTATTAGCTTCTGGGTCCTCCTTCTGGCTCTCAAAGATCTCTCCTGGTTTGTTTGGTTTCCTGTTCTTGTCACAGCCTTGTTTGATCCTGTCTTTCCTAAACCTTTACCCGTTCTTCTGTTTTCCCTGCTGAACCCCAACATGTTCTTTGGGAAATGAGGCCCAATGCTGTAATGAAACAATTTGAGATTTGTGCAGAGCTACATCAGTTTGTTGTCTTTCTGTCAGCGCTTGGAGGAAAAACTTTGCATATTTTACTTTCACCTGTTTAGTGAAAACAGGTAAAGGTGAAACACGCTCCCTCCTTTCTCTTTGTCATATTTTCTTCTGTAAAGTTTTCGAATCTGAAATCATGCAAACACCTTGCTAATATAAGATTTATATATATTTTTTTTAACAGTCACAAAGTCCGACAGAATTTATACTGTTCACAGTGTATCAGCAAACTGATGAGTGGGTCGGCGCTGGTAATGCCCTGTAGTGCTGGTCTAAATCTGTATGTGTTTGTGCGTGTTTTCGTGTGTGTGTGTGTGTGTGTGTGTGTGTGCGTGCGCGCGCTCTCACATGCTCTTCATGCAGGAGTCCCATGGCCCAGATGGAGGAGGAGAGGCGAGAGCATGTGACTAAGATGAAGAAGATGGAGATGGAAATGGAGCAAGTATTTGAGATGAAGGTGAAGGAAAAAGTGCAGAAGCTCAAAGACTCAGAAGCAGAGGTAAAACACACAACACACATGCCTGGTTTACTGAATACTGCACTTCATTCCCTTGTGAAGTTACTCTCAGTCTGGGCTCCTTCCTTTTGTGTTGATGTGTTAGTGGTAGTTTCAGCGGTTAGAAGTGTGAGTGAGCTTTACGAGAACCTGTGGCTGATTGGTGTAAATGGATGTCCTGTTTGCGAGTTCCCCTTTTTCTACCTATGTGTTTTATTTATTTGTCTCTGAAATTAAGTTGTAGGTCAGTGCAATTTACATGTGTGTAATGTGCAGATTGTAGGACTGTTGAGAAGGGCTGGGCAATAAAACAATAATGATAATTATCGCAGTATAATTTTCCTCAACAATATAATTGTCAATAAATATTTTGTTTAATTCATTTGAATCACAAACAAATTAGCACTTAATTTTTCTATTTGTTGAGGAAAAGGGACTGAAAATCATATTTGTTGAAAATTTGTTAAGTGGTCCCCTGTTTGGCATCAAGTATTTGTCACATTCTGACCATAAAGAAAAGTTAAACCACATAATTAACCATCCGGTTTCTTCAGTTTTCACTCGGGAGCAAAAAACTGCCTTTAAACTAAAAAGAAATAAGGATTTGACATTTATCGTAATAATTATCGTTATCGAATTTTTGGCCATATCGTCCAGCCCTACTGTTGAGTCATGTCAGTGTTAAACAATATCTATTGACATCTTTTTTAGAGAATTTCAATGTGTGTAGATAATTATTGCAACAAAACTACAAGCTTATTTTTATAAAATAGAAAACAAGATAGCCAGATATGAATATATAGATCCATGTTTTGGCACGCTGTGGTCTACACGTTGTTCTGCGACAAGAACATTGCTGCTATCTGTTTACATCAGGTTGGCTGATACCTAAACTTTGAATATTGTCCAGTCATGACTTCCACTGTTGATAAGAGGTTCCTCCTTTAACAGTTCTACATGAAGAGTGTGTAAAAGAAGTGCTGATTTGTGCCATTTGTGCTCATCTGACAACTAATTAATGAATTAGTTTTTGCCCCTGTCAAATCAGCCTGCACATTACAACCTGGTTTTGTTCAACTGCCAAAAATATTACAGCACTACGAGGCTCTTTGGTTTCACTTTGATTCAGTTACATTATTATCTGTTTAAAGGCCCGTCTGCATGCAGCGTAACTAAAGAGGTCTTGTTGTCTGTAGTTCACATGTGTTGCAATTTGTGTGCTGTATTCGAATTTATTGGCTGCATACGTGACCATGCATTTCGGTACAATGTGCTGACTTCCTTCTCTGTCCTTTCTCTTTCTGTAGCTTCAGCGGCGTCACGAGCAGATGAAGAAGAACCTGGAGGCTCAGCACAAGGAGCTGGAGGAGAAGAGACGCGTGTTTGAGGACGAGAGAGCAAACTGGGAGACCCAGCAGCGCCTGGAGCAGCAGAAGCTGGAGGCCTCCAGGTACAACTAACACTCGCTGTCACACGTTTAATGGTGTCTGTTTTCACACACCCAAGCATTTAAGCTCCCGTATCATGCTCAAATTCATGCACTGTGGGATTAACGTGGACCGTAAGTTTCAGTGGAGGGTAAATGGTGGGCAGTGATGGATTAGTGCCACCTCCTCATATAAGCAGAAAAATGGAGTGACGGAACATCTGTTGTTCCCTCAACAATCCCTTTTTAATCTTACTTCCTACAAACATAACTTGCAAAGTGGTGTATAGATTTGCTACTAGTAGATCTGAAAGTAAAAGAGCTGACATTATTTAAAATATAGTTACTGATTCTATAGCATGTGTGTCTTTCCTTCTCTGCAGGACTCTGGAGAAAAACAAAAAGAAAGGCAAGATCTTTTAAAAGACAGTCAGCAGGACCACCCCAACTCGAGTTATTTCTGTTTGCCAACGTTGCCAGTCAGGACACCAGTGTGTGGCACTGACATCCCCCACCGTCTCCTCCTCCTCCTCCTCCTCCTCCTTCTCCCTTCCCTCCCTTTTCTCCACCCCTCCTTGCCCCCATCCCTGCTCTGTCGGCCAGCACAGCTGAGCTCCTGCTCCCCGCCACTAGAAAGGGGTATGTGGGGAGGTGGAGGGAGTCTACAGTGAAGCAGAACTACCACCACAGAGCCCCCCCCCCCCGCTGCCTCGGGACTGAATGTCACAAAAAGAATAAACCCCATTTTTTGAGAGGCAAAGAAAGGCCAAACCCATATTATTTTAATTATTATTATTATTATTGGTGTTATTATTATTATTATTATTGTTGTTGTTGTTATAACTGAATACTGTCCCCGCCTCCACTTGCTGCTCTTTTTTTTTTTTTTTTTTTTTTTTTTTCTTCCCAAGGTTGCTTTTAAATGACCGATTTGTACAGTTCAATGGAGAGCACCACAGACAAAAAAAATACCCATGTCTGACTGTTGTACAATCACGTTCTGGTGAATTTTATTTGTTTACAGGTAAAACGACAGTAACAGTAAGTGAACAATTAACCTGATCTTCCATCATGTATTCAAGTAAGAAGAGGACAAGGCATTAACTAATCCTTTTAATTTTATTTCTTTTGAGTGTATCTGGTAAACCCTTAACCCTTCTCTGATCAGTGTGACAGTCAATGGGGAAAACCTGAAATCAAGAATAACAATAAAATGCACCTTGGGCCTTTTTATAGATTTAAAAAATGGCTACAGCTTCTTTTTTTCTGAAATGTTATGCTTTCTTCCTCTGTGTTTAGCGTTTTCCATTAGCCTTGGACCACCATTTATAATGTCATAAGTGTTATATTTCACTTTAGTTTATTTTTATATATACCGAGCCAGCTGAAGTCATAACTTCTTTTGTATGTGTAAGAAACTCCTCAGAGACTTGAGAGCAGCATCCGCTGTTTTCACAAAAAAACGGTGATTCTGGACGCTTTAAAATGAAACAAACAAAATTTCAATCACTCTGCGGAAACGATCAGTGGGGAATGAAGAGTCAACACCGCAGTTAGCTTTGGCTATGTACTCCATCTCTGTATTTTTAATTTTATTTTTCATTTGTATTGTACAAAGTCACTTAATAAACCTGTGATGATATTGAGCAGTGAGATGGGTTTATTATGAAAAGTGGTGTGGACAGTTTTTGTGAGCTGATGTTACTTTTTAAACAAGACACTGTTTTATATCAATGAAATATTACGGTTACATTTGCTTTAAAAACGCCAGTGTCACAGACTGAGACTGTTGTTCACCATTTTATTTCAACAGTAGATGGCGCTGTCTGCCTATAGGTTTTGCATTGGCAACAGACTGTTGAATTTGAATTAGAATATTTTTATTTTTATGAAACCATGACAGACTGACCAAACAAAGGAAAACATTTTGTTGTCACCCTGAAATGAAGCAAAGTAAGAAAATCAAACGCAGGTCCTCGATCTTCGGGGGTTGCTCACAGGGCTCCTGCAGGGATGAAATCAGCTGTTACCAGGCAGATTTCCACCGTAATTACCAGTCAGTATATATGTATGTGGGAAGTATCATACCATCATCCTCAAAGCTCCTTTTACCCATCAGACCCACAAAGGTTTGAAATTTATGCCCTGGGAATGAAAGAATCCGTTATAATGCTGAACAGTGTCACTCTAAAATATTTGCTGCTGAAAACAAGCAAATTAATAATTATAGACTGCTTACGTTTACGAGTTGGCTGCGTTTTTGCTGTTCGGGGGAAATAAATGAAATCAGACCGGAACGCAACAGACCGCGGTGAAATTAGTTTTAAGTTGGATATTCGACAGACATTCACCCAGGATCCAGTGAAGGCTTTTTAGTCAGTTCACCCAGTGACGGTTGTATAAGTGCGGTTAGCTCACCTCTGATGGCTCGCTTTTAACCAACGGGGGTTAGCTTAGGGACCATCAATAAATTACAATTGTGAGAACAGTGTTATGGGAGAATCATTATTTATTTCAATAGCTTCAAAGTCATGTGACACAGGGACTTCAAACCAATGCCGAATTGTAGTACTACACTGGGCAAATGAGACACACCCCTTCATATTTGATTTGAGTGCATTTTTTTATTTTATATTAATATTTATTCATAATTTATTGAAAAAAATGCTGTTTTTTTTCAATAGCTTCCAAGTCATGTGACACAGGGACTTCAAACCAATGCCGAATTGTAGTACTACACTGGGCAAATGAGACACACCCCTTCATATTTGATTTGAGTGCATTTTTTATTTTATATGAATTTTCATTCATAATTTATTGAAAAAAATGCTGTTTTTTTTCAATAGCTTCCAAGTCATGTGACACAGGGATTTCAAACCAATGCCGAATTGTAGTACTACACTGGGCAAATGAGACACACCCCTTCATATTTGATTTGAGTGCATTTTTTATTTTATATGAATATTTATTCATACTTTATGGGAAAAAGTGCCTTTTTTTTCAATAGCGTCCAAGTCATGTGACACAGGGACTTCAAACCAATGCCGAATTGTAGTACTAGACTAGGCAAATGAGACACACCCCTTCATATTTGATTTGAGTACATATTTGAATTTATATGAATATTTATTCATAATTTATGTAAAATAATGCCTTTTTTTTCAATAGCGTCCAAGTCATGTGACACAGGGATTTCAAACCAATGCCGAATTGTAGTACTAGACTAGGCAAATGAGACACACCCCTTCATATTTGATTTGAGTGCATTTTTTATTTTATATGATTATTTATTCATAATTTATGTAAAATAATGCCTTTTTTTTCAATAGCGTCAAAGTCATGTGACACAGGGACTTCAAACCAATGCCGAATTGTAGTACTACACTAGGCAAATGAGACACACCCCTTCATATTTGATTTGAGTGCATATTAAAATTTATATGAATATTTATTCATAATTTATGGGAAAAAGTGCTGGTTTTTTTCAATAGCGTCAAAGTCATGTGACACAGGGACTTCAAACCAATGCCGAATTGTAGTACTACACTAGGCAAATGAGACACACCCCTTCATATTTGATTTGAGTGCATTTTTTATTTTATATGAATATTTATTCATAATTTATGTAAAATAATGCCTTTTTTTTCAATAGCGTCCAAGTCATGTGACACAGGGACTTCAAACCAATGCTGAATTGTAGTACTAGACTAGGCAAATGAGACACACCCCTTCATATTTGATTTGAGTGCATATTTTATTTTATATGAATTTTCATTCATAATTTATTGAAAAAAATGCTGTTTTTTTTCAATAGCTTCCAAGTCATGTGACACAGGGATTTCAAACCAATGCCGAATTGTAGTACTACACTGGGCAAATGAGACACACCCCTTCATATTTGATTTGAGTGCATTTTTTATTTTATATGAATATTTATTCATACTTTATAGGAAAAAGTGCCTTTTTTTTCAATAGCGTCCAAGTCATGTGACACAGGGACTTCAAACCAATGCCGAATTGTAGTACTAGACTAGGCAAATGAGACACACCCCTTCATATTTGATTTGAGTACATATTTGAATTTATATGAATATTTATTCATAATTTATGTAAAATAATGCCTTTTTTTTCAATAGCGTCCAAGTCATGTGACACAGGGATTTCAAACCAATGCCGAATTGTAGTACTAGACTAGGCAAATGAGACACACCCCTTCATATTTGATTTGAGTGCATTTTTTATTTTATATGATTATTTATTCATAATTTATGTAAAATAATGCCTTTTTTTCAATAGCGTCAAAGTCATGTGACACAGGGACTTCAAACCAATGCCGAATTGTAGTACTACACTAGGCAAATGAGACACACCCCTTCATATTTGATTTGAGTGCATATTAAAATTTATATGAATATTTATTCATAATTTATGGGAAAAAGTGCTGGTTTTTTTCAATAGCGTCAAAGTCATGTGACACAGGGACTTCAAACCAATGCCGAATTGTAGTACTACACTAGGCAAATGAGACACACCCCTTCATATTTGATTTGAGTGCATTTTTTATTTTATATGAATATTTATTCATAATTTATGTAAAATAATGCCTTTTTTTTCAATAGCGTCCAAGTCATGTGACACAGGGACTTCAAACCAATGCTGAATTGTAGTACTAGACTAGGCAAATGAGACACACCCCTTCATATTTGATTTGAGTGCATATTAAAATTTATATGAATATTTATTCATAATTTATGGGAAAAAGTGCTGGTTTTTTTCAATAGCGTCCAAGTCATGTGACACAGGGACTTCAAACCAATGCCGAATTGTAGTACTAGACTAGGCAAATGAGACACACCCCTTCATATTTGATTTGAGTGCATTTTTTATTTTATATGAATTTTCATTCATAATTTATTGAAAAAAATGCTGTTTTTTTTCAATAGCTTCCAAGTCATGTGACACAGGGATTTCAAACCAATGCCGAATTGTAGTACTACACTGGGCAAATGAGACACACCCCTTCATATTTGATTTGAGTGCATTTTTTATTTTATATTAATATTTATTCATAATTTATTGAAAAAAATGCTGTTTTTTTTCAATAGCTTCCAAGTCATGTGACACAGGGACTTCAAACCAATGCCGAATTGTAGTACTACACTAGGCAAATGAGACACACCCCTTCATATTTGATTTGAGAGCATATTCGAATTTTATATGAATATTTATTAGTATTTTATGGACAAAATTTTTTGCGTACATTTGTGAGATATGCAACTGTTTGTTTATTGCCAGGAAATTTTTGAAGAACACACCAATAAAACAAAATTTCAACAATTTAAGGCAGGTCTGTACAATGATTCAGGTTGACTAATATCCCAAGGAGCAGTAGGTGGCGATAATGCACCTGTACTTGAATGACAATCTCATATAATTTGCAAAGAAGAAGAACGAGGTAGAAGACAGTGTAGAAAAATAGACAACAAGGAAAAGGAGTTTGCTCTTTAAAAACAACATGGGGCGTTTCAAAAAAGGCCAGAGGCAGAGGAGTACAGATCTCTGGCAAAAAGCTGGAGGTAGAGATGTTATAATCAGGTCTTTCATTTTTCATGGTTTTACTGAGGTAAATATTACACCTGAACAGTGGAGCTCAGTCACACTTACTCTGTTTAAAAACAACAACAAAGATCATCTAAAGTGGTTGAAAGTCATATGGTTTGAAGACAGACAAGCAGTCCGGACAGAGGGGCTTAATGCAGGTAAGTTGTTGAGCCCCCAGAAGTTTTGTAATGTTAGCTTAATTTTTGGTTAGACTACATCAAACTAAAGCAATTTGGATGTAATTAATAGAAATAAAAAAGGGAGTAATAGAATAGAAATTGTGAATTAATAGAAATTCACAAATTCTATGCTATTTCATGTCAAAATATTGGGTCAGTCTCCATCATAACCAAGAATGTCATTATTTTTTAAACCTATATTTATTCACTGTGGTTGAATTAAAAATTTGATTTGCTTATGTTTTTTAGGTTTGACATATTTTTTAGTTAATTTAGTAATTAGATTAATTACTTTTGGGATATTTTTATGTTTAGGAAAAGAAGTCACTGAGAGAGAAAGGCTTGAGGAGACAGCTAAAAAAGACGAACATTGCAAGGTTAAGAGAAAGGAGACAAGGAGCAAAGCTCTGCAGACAAGTAACAGACAAGAGAGCAGAGTAACTGACAAACCAGATAAAGACACGGACAATGGAGAAGAGCTTAGCAGTGTAAACATAGAACAGATACCAACAGGTGAAGAAGACAGGGACAGTACACCTGATGAGAGCAAAACGTGTACCACACAGCTGCAGCATGACACAGAGAGTCGAGAAGAGGACATAGATGCATATAAGAAGACTTTAGGCCAGACAAATGAAAAAGTCCTTCCTAAAAGTAAAAGTGGGAAAGGAAAGGGAAAACTGAGAACTAAAACAGATGATCACTTTGAGCAAACTGACTACAGAAAGTGCAAAGCAGGCCCAAAAGTGTTTAAAATTGTGATAACAAGAAAACAATGGAACAAAATTAAACCTAAACATGGGGGAACAAAACTCATTCCCCCATGGACCGATACATTTTATCATGCATTTCTGAAAAAAAATCCATGCTGTACACTTGCTTTTAAATATCAGCATGTCAAGACAAGCGATAGCCGTAAAAAGAATTCCTCATTTTTCCGTGCCTCAGCTCAATGTGCATTTGATGGATGCAAGGCTGTCTACGTTTTCTCCAAGAAAAACAAACCAAAATCAAAGGATAAAAATATTTCCTTTAAAGTGAAGCGCAATGGGGAAGTAACACACCATAAAAATCAAACACGATCTAGACCAGCAAAATACCTGCGAAGAGGGAAGATTGCCAAAGCTCTTACCAATGGTGTCAGTAATTATTATTACTGTATGCTGAAAAAGACACCTGTTGAAGAGATCATGGCTGGGAACATAACTAGAAGCCTCACCAAGGATGTTTTGAAAAAAATATCCTCTGAAGTGAGGAAGAGTGCTAGGCTCCATAACGACATGATGCTTGAACTCATGCTGACTCAAAAAGTAATTGCAGAGAGCAGCAGTCATGCATCATCAAAAGGCTATCTTCAGCACCTACAAATAAGTCCTTTTGCTGTACATTTACACACAGAAACTGGAATAAAGATTCTTGCTGAACACCTAAGAAGACCAACACCCATCACCCTCTACCTTGATGCCACAGGTGGCGTGGTTCAGAAAATCCCGGATCAAAATAAACGAGTGTTATATTATGCTCTCGTTTTGCCAGGCATGGGCAAAGACAAGCCTCCCTTACCTGTCACAGAACTGATTTCCAACAGCCATTCTATTCCATCTATTTCCCATTGGCTCATGGAATTCACAAGGAAGTTGTCTCACACAACAAAAAGACAAATAGCACAAGTCGAGACAGATTACAGCTGGGCTCTGATTAACAGTATGCTCATCTCCTTCAACAAGGAGAATATTTCAGTGTACCTTGCCAGAGCATTTGATATAGTGTCTGGACAAAGTGAACCTATTCCCCACTTCACTGTGCTGCATTTGTGCTCTGCCCATATCATGAAGGCTGTATCCCAAGCATTTGGCAAAAAAACAGGAGACAGAGGCATACATGAGTTTGCCGCATTCAGTTTTGCTTACCTCCTCAACTGCACAAGTATGCAGGTGGCCCTTGAAGTTTTTTATCACATGTGTGTGCTTTTTGATGCAGAGGAATACACTCATTCGGTAAACCAGAGCAAAATGTACCTCAACAAGTGTGTTTTGCAAACCCAGGACATGAAGCTGGAAGAAAGTGGACATGTCATTGGAGAGGAGGAAAGACCAAGTGAGAAACCTGCTGACAGTATTTTTGGAAAATCACCTTTCACACGTGCTTTTCAAGTCAGACGGGACCAAGCTGAGTGTGACATCCTGTCAGATGATGCAGTTGGCATTAAAAACCATTACCACTGTCCGGGTGTCATCGATGTGCTGTTAAAAAACTACATGGGGATCTTACCGTTGTGGAGTGGTTTGTTGCTCGGGGATCTGTCACGGCATGGAAAAATCAGAACCTGTAAAACAGATGGAAGTGCCAAAACTAGGGATACCAACTGTCATGTTGAGCTCTGGTTTGGTTTGGTCAAACACTCCATCCTTTTAAAGAAAAGGTACCTGAGACCAGCAGAGTTCATTTCCAAAATGTTTGCCTCAATCCAAGGAAGATATATAGAGCACATTGGGCAACATAATTTGCCAATGCAGATTTTGGATAAGAACTTTGCAAGTTGTAGCAGGCCAGATGATGACCATGAAGAACAATGGAACAAGCGGGACAGCTCTGTTGGTCACTCCAGGTCCAAGTCAAAGTACTTCAATCCACCCAAAACACTATCAAAGCCCAAGAGCCCACATGCTGCAAAAGTAAAGAGAAGAGGAAAAAAAGTGGATCAGGATCAATCAGATAAAGACAAAAAGGTAAATATATTTGAAATAATAAACATTTTACCAAACAAATAAGTATAGTATAGGCTTGACTGGGGAAAAGTGCAGGAGAAAGGACATGAAGCAATATAGTATAATATGAATTTTGGTCAGTGTTTCAAAAAAGCGATCCATATGATTTATCATGTAAATTTATTTTCGGGACATACATTTCCCAATAAATGGGAACAATGTTGTAAAGGTACAACTACTAGGCCGTTCATCCTCAAAACCTTAAAGGTTAGGTATAAAGTACAAAACTGCTTGTAAATACACTATATAACATGGTATAAATAGAAGAAGAAAAACACTACATGGTAAAACAGAAAAATGGCCAATTCTAAATGTTGTTCTGCTGTTTTCTTAAAATAAGGCCTTCCTTCAAAATTTATTTAAAGTTTTTTTCTTTCAATACCCAGACTGTCCATAGTAACCAGCATGTATTGACTTCCTGTTAATCCTGACTTGCAGTTAACCTTATTGTGGAAAAAGAGGGACACAGAGGTGGTCGTTGCATTGGTCCCTTCACAGATTAAGGGGCGCAACATCCTTATCCACCACAGTGAGCTACGCACACTTCGACCACACCAGTGGTTGACAGGGGAGGTACGTGAGTGTATTTTAAGTATATAAAGATTCACTCTACAATGTAGGATTTATTGTATTTACATTTTTAGAATTACATCAAGGAATGTTCCGAAACTCAGAAAGGAAAGTTCCACAAATGTTGGAATGTGTAATAATTGGCTATTATGTTGTTTATGCCAGGTTATTGAGGCCCTGTTTCATGTTGCTGCCCATACATTCAGTGTGGTGGACACCATCTACTTGATGAGTCATTACACTACAGGTGGGATACTGTTCGGTGACAGAACTGAGCTACCCCGTCACAGTTTACCAAAGGTAATATGCTGTATGTGTTTTGTATGGTTTGTTTTGTTTGTGCGCGGTGATGGTGTGTGGTGGGTTTGGGAAATGGAAGTTTACACTCATTATCTACATACAGTAAAACATGGGCTTAGAATCAATCAAGTCTTCATTACAAACAATTACAAAATTGAGATAATGCATTACTTTATCCTTGTTCCTCGTTCAAAGTGTGCTCACCAGGAAAAATCCCCTCATTAATCCTTTGGTTGAAAGTAAATGTTTTCTATTGGATATCCTTACCAACAGTTCTCTAAAGATAAATACAAAAAGAAAGGGCATCAAAACACATTTGTCAGTGGATAACTATGGATTTGTCATTAGAAGTCTGTATGTTTGTTTTCATCATTTTGTATTTCATACAATTGTAGGTAAACTTTGAGAACTATGAAGCTGTTCTGTCATTTGTGCTTGTCAACAACAACCACTGGAACTTTCTGGTTTGTAACTCTGTTGTTATTTGTTATTTTATTATTTTGTATTTGTCTTCGAATGTACACCATTTCACTTTTGAAAAGCAATGAAACGAAAAGTATTTGTGACTAAGATACATTTCCTTTTTTCTGTGACAGTACATTAATGCTAAAACCAGCACAGTATTCTTGATGGATCCAGCCCCCATGTCATCTGAATTGGAGGACTCTAAACGGGCTGCTAAAAGAATACAGTAAATCAACATTTAAGCTTTTTTTTAAATTTGATTATAAATATGTCTACGGTGAGTTTTGAAACCTGCAATAATAAGTTGGTGTTGAAGTGTACAAGGTAGATTTAATTGTTATATCACAATAGGGTTGTAAAATTAAATCCAATACCCTTCTGCTACAACGCAGACGTTATTCAGTACAGAACACTCATAAAATAGTGAAATATTTTGCATGGAGCAGTGCTGAGGATGAATTTGAATTAGAATTTAAAAGTCTAACAGCCTGGGGAAAACACTGGCCTGCAATCTGGTGGTATGACAGCAGAGACTTGTATATCTCTTACCAGAAGGCAGCAGGGTGAACAGGCTGCAGACTGGGTGGGTACTGTCCTTTAGTGTCCTTGGGGCTCTGTAGGCACCTCACCTCACCAATATCACTGATGCTTAGTAGATGGGTACCAATGATCTTCTTGGCGGTTATAATCACCCACTGCGGAGCCCTCCTGTCCTGGGCCGTGCACATCCCATGCCAGGTGGTGATGTTTCCAGTCAGGATGCTTTCTATGGCTTCTCTATTAAAGTTGACAAGAATTTGGCATGGGAATGTAGAGTTCCTAAGATTCCTTGAGAAATTTTTTATTACTTATATAAAGTAGCCTAATATTTATGACTGCCCTCTCCCCATCCCTCAAGCATTTGCAATGATGAGATGAATACAAACATTGGTTATTCACTAGTGGTACCAAATGTCTGTGAGCGGATATTATCTTTTGACCTACACACTGTATCTGTTTAAAGTGTATTAACGTTTACTTATTCAGTGAATACTTCAGGATGAGAAGGACATGCCACAGCAAAACAGACTGGGTGGATGTAAAGTGGAAAGGGGGAGTTATGTGCCACCCAGTTCAAAAAGACGGAAGCAGCTGTGGTGTGATTGTTGTTAAGGTAAGCTAAGGAGATCATTTGATTTTTATGTTAAAAACAATTTTATGTGAATCAAATCTGTTTCTACAGTATTTTTGTGAAGCATTCTTGTCATGGGTGATTGTCCTCTATAATGTACCTCCCATGTTAGTTGTATCTGTTGTATTACTATCCAATGAAGAAGAAACACCCTCTGTAACAGTAGTGTTGTGTGTTTAGATGGCAAACGCTGTGATGGAGGCCTTCCCTCTGATGCCAGATGTTAGATTTGAAACATCAAAAACGCACATGACAAGGGAGAGGAGAGATCTAGCTCTCCAACTCCTAGAAGCATCAGGTACATGCTGTAAATTATGCATACAGTATACCTACAATATACTTTAATTAAATAAATAATATATTGTAATAATTTTTTCAGTCTTTGATGAGCACTCATGTTGTGCTATGTGTGCAGCCTTAAGGCCTCCGGGATCTGGACCCCCCATTACAGACTGGGTGAGTTGTGAAGCAGCGATCTCATGTTTAATTGTGATGTAGACCTACTTGAGTATGGCTGAGGACAAGTCAACTAACACAAAGGTCAAACCAATGTGTATACACACCTTGGTTTGTAATAAACCACTCAAAGCACTTTACACCAAATATAAACCCACCCATTCACACACACATTCATACAACGATGGCAGAGAAATACATGCAAGGTGCCAACTGCTGATGAGAAAGAAACTAATACTCGTTCACACACACTCACACAACAATGGCACAGCCTTCTGAGCAAATACAGAGGGGGCATATATCTTCCATGTAGTGGACAACCGCTCTACCTCTAAGCAACAGACATTGAAATAAATATATATATAAATATGTTATGAAAGATTTTTTACAATTCCACAGGTCCAGTGTGATGGCTGTGAACGGTGGTTCCATGCTCAGTGTGTGGAAATGGACAGCACACAATATGAAGAGGCAAAGAAAGGAAACTGGGAATGTCCGTTGTGTAAATAAAGTGTTTCTTTGAAATCTGCTCAATGCTGTGGAAGAAAATGACTGACTCTGTGTGGTACAACTGCAGTTGTACAAGAGGTGTGTAATATGTGTAACGGGTAGTAGTACAATTCGGCATTGGTTTTGAGTCCCTGAATCATTTGAAATGGAATCTATTGAAGAAAAAAATATAAATATTAATATAAAATAAAAAATGCACTCAAATCAAATATGAAGGGGTGTGTCTCATTTGCCCAGTGTAGTACTACAATTCGGCATTGGTTTGAAGTCCCTGTGTCACATGACTTGGAAGCTATTGAAAAAAAAAGCATTTTTTTCAATAAATTATGAATAAATATTAATATAAATTCGAATATGTACTCAAATCAAATATGAAGGGGTGTGTCTCATTTGCCTAGTCTAGTACTACAATTCGGAATTGGTTTGAAGTCCCTGTGTCACATGACTTTGACGCTATTGAAAAAAACCAACACTTTTCCCATAAATTATGAATAAATATTCATATAAATTTTAATATGCACTCAAATCAAATATGAAGGGGTGTGTCTCATTTGCCTAGTCTAGTACTACAATTCCGCATTGGTTTGAAGTCCCTGTGTCACATGACTTGGACGCTATTGAAAAAAACCAGCACTTTTTCCCATAAATTATGAATAAATATTCATATAAATTTTAATATGCACTCAAATCAAATATGAAGGGGTGTGTCTCATTTGCCTAGTCTAGTACTACAATTCAGCATTGGTTTGAAGTCCCTGTGTCACATGACTTGGAAGCTATTGAAAAAAAAGGCATTATTTACATAAATTATGAATAAATATTCATATAAATTCGAATATGTACTCAAATCAAATATGAAGGGGTGTGTCTCATTTGCCCAGTGTAGTACTACAATTCGGCATTGGTTTGAAATCCCTGTGTCACATGACTTGGAAGCTATTGAAAAAAAAGGCATTATTTTACATAAATTATGAATAAATATTCATATAAAATAAAAAATGCACTCAAATCAAATATGAAGGGGTGTGTCTCATTTGCCTAGTCTAGTACTACAATTCGGCATTGGTTTGAAATCCCTGTGTCACATGACTTGGACGCTATTGAAAAAAAAGGCATTATTTTACATAAATTATGAATAAATATTAATATAAAATAAAAAATGCACCCAAATCAAATATGAAGGGGTGTGTCTCATTTGCCTAGTCTAGTACTACAATTCGGCATTGGTTTGAAATCCCTGTGTCACATGACTTGGACGCTATTGAAAAAAAAAGGCATTATTTTACATAAATTATGAATAAATATTCATATAAATTCAAATATGTACTCAAATCAAATATGAAGGGGTGTGTCTCATTTGCCTAGTCTAGTACTACAATTCGGCATTGGTTTGAAGTCCCTGTGTCACATGACTTGGACGCTATTGAAAAAAAAAGGCATTATTTTACATAAATTATGAATAAATATTAATATAAATTCAAATATGTACTCAAATCAAATATGAAGGGGTGTGTCTCATTTGCCTAGTCTAGTACTACAATTCGGAATTGGTTTGAAATCCCTGTGTCACATGACTTGGAAGCTATTGAAAAAAAAGGCATTATTTTACATAAATTATGAATAAATATTCATATAAATTCGAATATGTACTCATATCAAATATGAAGGGGTGTGTCTCATTTTCCTAGTATAGTACTACAATTCGGCATTGGTTTGAAATCCCTGTGTCACATGACTTGGAAGCTATTGAAAAAAAAGGCACTTTTTTCAATAAATTATGAATAAATATTCATATAAATTTTAATATGCACTCAAATCAAATATGAAGGGGTGTGTCTCATTTGCCTAGTCTAGTACTACAATTCGGCATTGGTTTGAAGTCCCTGTGTCACATGACTTGGAAGCTATTGAAAAAAAAAGGCATTATTTTACATAAATTATGAATAAATATTAATATAAATTCAAATATGTACTCAAATCAAATATGAAGGGGTGTGTCTCATTTGCCTAGTATAGTACTACAATTTGGCATTGGTTTGAAATCCCTGTGTCACATGACTTGGAAGCTATTGAAAAAAAAGGCATTATTTTACATAAATTATGAATAAATATTCATATAAATTCGAATATGTACTCAAATCAAATATGAAGGGGTGTGTCTCATTTTCCTAGTATAGTACTACAATTCGGCATTGGTTTGAAATCCCTGTGTCACATGACTTGGAAGCTATTGAAAAAAACCAGCACTTTTTTTCAATAAATTATGAATAAATATTCATATAAATTTTAATATGCACTCAAATCAAATATGAAGGGGTGTGTCTCATTTGCCTAGTATAGTACTACAATTCGGCATTGGTTTGAAGTCCCTGTGTCACATGACTTGGACGCTATTGAAAAAAAAGGCATTATTTTACATAAATTATGAATAAATATTCATATAAAATAAAAAATGCACTCAAATCAAATATGAAGGGGTGTGTCTCATTTGCCTAGTCTAGTACTACAATTCGGCATTGGTTTGAAGTCCCTGTGTCACATGACTTGGAAGCTATTGAAAAAAAAGGCATTATTTTACATAAATTATGAATAAATATTCATATAAAATAAAAAATGCACTCAAATCAAATATGAAGGGGTGTGTCTCATTTGCCTAGTCTAGTACTACAATTCGGCATTGGTTTGAAGTCCCTGTGTCACATGACTTGGAAGCTATTGAAATAAATAATGATTTTCCCATAACACTGTTCTCACAATTGTAATTTATTGACGGTCCCTAAGTTAACCCCCGTTGGTTAAAAGCGAGCCATCAGAGGTGAGCTAACCGCACTTATACAACCGTCACTGGGTGAACTGACTAAAAAGCCGTCACTGGATCCTGGGTGAATGTCTGTCGAATATCCAACTTAAAACTAACTTCACCGCGGTACGCAACAGGTCCTAAACATAACTACAGCATTAATTTGTATGAAATGCATTCAAATTGCTCTACCAGACTCTTTCTTCCTCATGAGCCCAAGATATCGGCGTGGTCCTGGTTTTCTGGTCATTCTCACTAATAAATCTTGAATTTCTTCAGAGTTTGGCCATTTGTTCTTGTTTGAAGCATAAGAAAGGGATAAAACATTGCAAGTTTATCTCTGTGTAAAAAAACTTTTTTTCTAACTTCAATAAACCATCTTACTGAGAATATATAAACAGGAAAGATATTATATATAAAGTATTATAAGTTGATTTGTGTTTCAGTAAAGCTTTTTTCCAACCGAAAATCTTTTGGGAAACGCTGGTATTGAAATGTCTTTTGTTTTCATGAATGACAAATTCTAATACATCCACAAATGGAAATAAGATCAGTCTTACCTCTCCGATGCCTTCTCTCCAGTTGTCAACATCCAGTTCTTGACAGAAAACATTTGTCAGAAGCAACACAGCTATAACAACACATTTAACTAGCTCCATCATTGGAAACCGTGCGTAATTTCACTCAAATGCCTCTGAATACAAATATTAAATATGAATCTTTTATATATCTTTTATATTTATCCTGGATTACAGATAACAATAAATATTTGTGCGCAGGTAGTCTGCACCTTGCTGCGGGATTATAGAGAAGAGACACCAGCGCGTCTTCCCTGGTGATGCACCATTGCACCACGGGGTCCAACGCTCCATTTACGCACAAGGGCTTTTACGCACAACTGGAGTGGGTGATTTCGGTAATTATGCTGTGAGTCACAGGGATTTATTTTGACATATCTTATAAACTTTATGTGTTTCATGCGCTGGGTACTTAGCCTACATAGATCATTAGACTGACCAACTGAGAGTGTCAACAATTCAACTCAAGACCAAAACTGACTTCCTGGCCCCAAGAATATTGTCTAAATCAAGTGACAAGTCGGAAAAAAGACTTCCAAAATAGCCAATACTAGGAGGTGCATTTATTCCTACATTATAAATACAGTAAATTAAAGTGTGGATCACTCAACATAAACTATAATCCCGCAGGGAAATCTTTATAGTATCCAGTTATTGAAGAAGTATTCAGATCTTTTTAATTAAGGAGAAGTAGCCTAGTGATGCCACAATGTACTCAAATAGAAGTAAAAGTCCTGCATTTAAAAAGTACCCTTATGTAAAAAGTACATAAGTCAAACAAACTTAAATAGGCTATCAATAGGCTACTAAAATTAATGACCCTCAGTGTTGTAGAGTAGGCTACCATATCCCTGTATTAGCCTTTATTATTGGATTATTATAACTGATGCACATTACAGTGTAAACACCATTTTAATTTAACTGGTCGATATAACTGCTTCATAGTTGCTGGGTACTTTTATGAACTCATACATTTTAATGACTATTTATGTTACTGCCTCAATTTATTGTATGTTTTGTGCCTGTTATATATTGCCTAGTTTATGCTATATATAATATATAGTAGGCCAATTCTAGTTTTATTTGTTTTTTGTTTGTTTTTTTGCCTTTAATTTCTCTGCGTGGAATGAACAAAGTGTATTAAATGTTTTGTACCGTTAGGACTATATCGTCATATGAATAAATGTTACATGTTTAGTGACACTTATTAACACTATATATTAACTAAAGGCATTAACTGTCAGTGTTTTGAATAATCCTGATCAATTTGGCTCAGAGTACCGTTTTAGCTTTTCTGTCCCCACAAGGCCTCCGTAGACACTAGCACTGCACGGCACGCCCCCCACTCAGAGTATTTAGGCGAAGATAAAGATTAAGATCATTTATAACGCCTTCTGAGACAGTTCAACAGCAGTCCGACCTTTTGAAATTAGATAAACTCTTTAAATGAAATGCTGGGACTGTGTTTGTGGTGAGTTCATGGTCACTCGCCGTCAGCGGGAAACATGATTTTGTTGCGTTCAAAGTTATCGATGTTGTGGTTCCTGTTTGTTGTAACAGTTCAAATGACTGAAGTCTTAGGGAAATCGAAACTGATCGAATATGAGGCCTGTGAGTCCCGAGACAACACAGTCAGTTTGAGGTCCAATAAAGCCTCCACAGCCCCCGGGCCGGAGCCCGGGGACCTCGCGGCCGCGTTTGCTGTCCGAACTCTGGATGGGGAGTTCTCCTATCAGCCCGGTGCTGTGCGGGGATCCCTCGTCATTCACGCCTTCACCAACAAGTCAGGGTTTCTGGAGTGCATGTGGAGCTCGGAGTCGTCTCTGACCAGCCTGGTACAGGACCTGCCCAACAGCACCCAGGTGCTCTTTCTGTCCCTGGACGACTCTGCGGTCAGTGATGCTCTGTGGATGAGGGAACAGGTGCAGCGGGTCGCCATGCACAGGTGACCGCACAGGAAACACTGCTGTAATGCAAAGTGCTGAAATGCAGTCCAGTCCAGTAAAAATTTTAAATGTTTAGCATCATGTGGCATACCTGCTACAGTGGTGAAAAGGTATCAACACAGCAATGTTAAAATACATAATTACAAGTAAAAGCCTTACATTCAAAAATCTTATTCATGTAAAATTATTATCAGCTAAATGTTCTCTCTGTATAAGAAGTAAAAGTAACTATTCATTCTGCAGCAAAATGTCCCCTGTACCAGATATATCTGTCTTTTCAAATCATTAGATGGTTGATACTGATGCTGATAAATACTGCCTTTTATGTGTGACATATTTTACCCCTGTGGGACTCTAACAGTTATTTAAATGAGACAGTCTGAGAAGTTTAAAGGGGAATTCATGGTGGATCTGCTAACTTATGAACATCTGCAGCATGACGAGGGGTCCCAGCTAGACAATACCTTTTTGTTAGCGGTCCCACTGCATTGTATTTTATAAGTGTGCCGGATGTTGGTTTAATATAAAATAGTATCTGTTAAATACATGTCGCGGAGTGAAACGTACAAAATTTCCCTCTGTAATGTAGTGGAGATGAAGTATAAAGTAGCATAAAATGGGAACCCTCAAGTACCACCTCAAAGTTGTACTTAAGTACAATACTTGAATAAACTCACTTTCCACCACTGGAGGCTAACAAGATCATTCAAACACAGATTTTGAAAATGTTTAAGTTTTATAAAATAGTAAATTAATAACGATTAAAATATCTGCTGCAAAGCTGGCACATATTAAGTTGAATTCCAGTTAGCTGTTAAAAAAGGTTCAGGTCTTTATTGTCCCACATGGGGACACCAATAACATTTCAATGAAAATGTAAACATAACAAACAAGGAATGTCAAAAAACACAATAGCAGTAAAAAAACAAACAATTAACAGGCAAAGACAATAAAAAAACACTAAATTTAAAGAAGAAGAGAATAAAATAGGGGCTGGATGCAAATCAAGTGGAGGAAAGCACTTGAATATGAGTTTTTAAAGCCACATGAAACAACAGAGGCCATATCCCCTGTTTGCCAAATCGTCAGGAGCAAAATCAGTCAAAGGTATACTGTACCAAACATAGCCAAACCACACCGAAAATGAGGAAGTGCAGTCACAAGTGGAAATTCCCCAGCAGGGATGCGAGGTATTTCTGCTATATACAAGGGGCTGAAAATACTCATGTGACCTAATAGTGTGTAGCAGTGTTTGTAATGGTGAAGTAGTTTCTTCAGAGTCTGTGTCCTGTGATAGCCTTTTGATAAGTCGATCAGGATCAACGTCATTTCAAATAATGTACGGTTCCAGACATTTCTCAATTCAACCTTTTTGTTATATATTTATATATATATTTCTAAATTTTGGGCTATTTTCAATGAATTTGTTGGGATTTTGCCAAAAGGACTAAAGTGCAGGTTGCTCTGTGGTGTTGCAGTTAATTCATTATCTATAAACTGCTTTTTACATTATTTTGAGAATCTTTTTGGTGACACATTATAGCATTGATGCAGATAGATTACTGAAAATCAACATTTGACTGTGTGAATAAATGTAATAATGGTTAATATCAGTCCTGCGCTCTCATGTCTTTGACAAACCACATTTAATCTCCTACATTTTTCTGCAGTAAGAAGGAGGTTCTGTCCAGGCTTCACTTCTGTCCGATGCCAGTCTTCACTCTGGGTAACTGGATTCCCAATGTGTTTTATTACTGGGGCGTAGCGTCACGCCTCTCCCAGGCTGTTTTCACCTCCGAGGGTAAGAGTGCTGTCTCTTCATGGGCCTAATGGGTCAGATTCTGGGACTGATTGTTCAGCAGAGATACAGATTGTTGGGCGGATGTAATGTATGAACTTTGCGGAAGTGTGACTATTGTTCATTAGTAGACTTAGCAAAGCATTACTACTGTCACCAGAAAGTACTGAACAGTGGTAGAAGTAGTTAAGTTAAGCTGCATTAGACACATTTTACAATACATCATGGCATCCCAACTACTCTAACTGCAGTGTACATTTGTCTTTCCCCCAACCACTAGGTACGGTCCTTTTTTGGCTTTTTATATATTTAATGACAAAATTCCTCTCTTTTCCTGTTAAATCTAAGTTTTTTTACATTCAAGAGCAGGTATAAAATGACATTTTTGTGTGACCCAGTGTTTGAGCATTTATACAACAGAGAAGTAGTAGTAAAATTATTTATATTTCTGTATTTGTATTGCTAAAGATAAGCAACTCTATGGTTTCATTGCAGAATGCTTATTAGGACCAATAATGACTGCAGCAATCAGCTCTGGATACCGATTGCTTAAAATGTATGACAAGCTCCCTGTGCTTATGAGTGAATTTATTTGAAGCTATGAAGCCTTGAGAGCACACTGGTATTTGACTTCTTTCTATTAACAGTAACAGTTGGAAAAAAAGAACGTGTGCTACAGAGTTTTATTGAAGCACTCGACAGTTATATGCTTGGACTTACGTGGGTATTTTCAAGAAACCGAGGGAGCAACAGTAACATTTAGCCAGGCTGTCTGAAGTTCAGGATGGGAAGTGAAACTATAGCTTAAGCCTTGTTACGTCTCACAGCAACATCACACCACAAAAGGCAACATCAATAAGCCTCATAAGATTTTTAAGAGCTGAATACAAACTGTGTCCTGCACAGCAGCAAGCGAGCACTCGTTTTCATCTTTTCTTTCGAATTTCTCTCCTCACAGGGTGGAAGATGCCTGTGGTTATCAAGAGACTAGATGCCAGGTATGATTGGCTCACGACGCGCTGGGATCAGACGTCGTATGAGATGATTGATGCGGGTGATGGGTGCGATCCTTCTCCATCAGTGACAGGTGCTGTGGTCTGGGTGTCTGAAGGCAACTGCTCTTTCTTTACTAAGGTATGTTAATGTCATTTGTAAAGGAGTGTGCTGCTTCTAGCTCAGATTGTTACTTCCATATTTAAGTACACAACCTGCTAACAATAATTAGCCTTTATCAACAAAAGAAACATAAAAGATTCCTTGTGGAGTTGTTGATCTCTACTAGAGCTGTGGAGCCAAGTGGATCCATTTTGTTTGCCTCGTGCACTCGCATAAGGACGCGATACACAGTCCTGCCAGTGTGCTTTCACACTTGTCTACTGATCTACAGGTGGCGGTAACACACCACGATACTGTATGCAGCAATACCAAAAAACTAAATAAAAAGAAGACTGCTAGATAGTTAACATGGACGTAACAAATAATACTAAAAAATACTAATTTAAAATCAGCTTTGCAAATGTTTT